AGAAAAGGAATCGATTATGATGAGGTATTTGCTCCTGTGGTAAAACACATTTCCATTAGAATTTTGATGTCAATTGTTGCTCAGGATGATCTTGAGTTGGAACAAATGGATGTTAAAACTGCTTTCCTACATGGAGATCTTGATAAACCACTGTATATGGAGCAGCCAGAGGGTTATGAAGTTAACAAGGATAGAGATCAGGTGTGTCTTCTAAAGAAATCACTATATGGTCTTAAGCAGGCACCTCGTCAATGGAATAAGAAGTTTAACACTTTTATCATGGAGCATAATTTCATGAGAAGTGGACATGACCCATGTGTCTACATAAAAGAAGTAAGCAATGGGGAGTTTGTATATCTTTTGATATATGTTGATGATATGTTGCTTGCAGCTAAGAACATGGCAGAAATCAACAAGATTAAGAATGTTCTAAGTCAAGGTTTTGAAATGAAAGATATGGGTGCTGCGAGCAGAATACTGGGTATTGATATTATCAGGGATAGAAAGAAGGGTATTCTACAGCTTTCTCAGGCAAGTTACATAGAAAAAGTGCTTCGCAGGTTTAACATGTATGATGCTGATACAGTGGATACGCCTTTGGGAGCACACTTCAAAGTGGCATCAGTGGAGAATGATGCTGAATGTATTGATACAAGTAAGGTTCCTTATCAAAGTGCAGTTGGAAGTATCATGTATGCAATGGTAGGAACTAGAGTTGATGTAGCCTTTGCTATTGGGTTACTAAGCAGATTCATGACTAGGCCAGGGAAAGTTCATTGGACAGCAGTAAAGTGGTTGTTGAAGTATTTGAAATGGTCTAAGGATTTGAAACTGGTTTATACTAGAGAAAAGGATTTTATAGTTCAGGGTTTTAGTGACTCTGATTATGCAGGAGATCTTGACAGAAGAAGATCAACCTCAGGATATGTCTTTACTGTAGGAGGAAATACAGTGAGTTGGAGATCATGTCGACAGAGTATAGTCACTTTATCTTCTACAGAAGCAGAGTTTGTAGCTCTGACTGAAGCAGTAAAAGAAGCCTTGTGGATTCAGGGTTTGCTGAAAGAAATGGGTTTTGAACAGGAGAAAGTGTTGGTCTGGTGTGATTCACAGTCAGCCATTAGTTTGTCTAAGAACAATACTTTTCATGGCAGGACTAAACATGTGGCCATAAAGTTCAATTTTATCAGAGATGTGGTTGAGGAAGGCAATGTTGAGGTACTCAAGATTCACACTTCTGAGAATCCTGCAGATATGCTTACTAAGTATGTACCAGTGCAGACATTTGAGGCAGCTTTAGAGTTTCTAAAGTTGCTTGAGTAACGATGAAGATTTCGTCACTGCCGAAGGTTAAATCCATGTAAGTGCAAGTTCATGATAGTTAGGGGAAAGTTGAATCAAGGTGGAGTGTTGTGGTTAATGATTCAATTTCAGCGGTTTGGTTGGTTTAGCTAAATTGTGAAGAATTGAAGCAGGCGGTTATCTCTGGTTTGGGATTACTGATTAAACCAAAAGAAGAAGCAAAAGAAGAGAGACTCTAACTGCAGTGGAGGCTTTATCTGATATAACAGAAACGCATCGTTTCTTATCTCTATCTTCTTCATTCTTGTTAATTCGTTCTGTTTCTTTGTATCGTGAGAGAGAGAGAGAGAAAACAGAGTGAGAATCCGCCATTGTTGTAAGCTCGGTTTGAGCTAATTCTTCTCCTATTCTAGTGAACTTTGCCGGATTGATTCGGCTCCGGATGTAGACTTGATCACACCGATCAAGTTGAACCGGGTTATCAAATTCTTGCGTGTTGTGTTCTTTCTTTTCATCGCTTATCGTATTCATCGAGATCGAGTTGTTTCGTGTTAGATTCAAGTGTTCGATTGAAACTTTCTCAGCTCGATTCGTAACATACACAAATGAGTCATTCTTAATTGTACAAGACAATTTTAATTAATTATACTACTACTTTTTTTTTTCTAAACAAGTCCTCTTACCTTAGCTGTAACCACTACCACACACTGCAAAAGTTAACGCGTATGCGTTTTTTTTTATTTTTCCTTCTTCTCTTCTTTGCTCTTTTGACCATTCAAAACGAATTTCAAAGACATTCACGTGCACCTTTGTCCTTCTATTTTCTCACGCTTCAAACGTTATTAGTTTTATCTTAATTAACTGTCTTCCCTTCATTAATTAGTACTTTTTAATCATTTAAACAATGAGTCTAGATTATGGTTTACTTCTTTTTTGAATAAGAATATATATATATCCTTCAGAAGTAGTTATACAAGATGGACATTATGGTTAGGCTTAGGCCTCGTTTGAACATAATTGATTCAGACGTAATTGATTAGAGAGCCAGTGTCCGGTGGTGCTTAAATGTGCTAGTGTGGTTGCATGTCTCGGAGTCATATTTATAGACATATCGATCTATAAGTATAACTATCAGAATCAATCATTAATCAATAAATTAAACAACTTATAGTTTATCAAAGAGAATATTTACGCCACTAAAACCTTAAAGACTGAAAAGTTCTCATCACATGGTATGATTTATGAGATAGAGACATATAGGTTCGAAATTATTTAACTGCTGCGTAATTATTTTGGGAAATGTTTTTGTTTGCGAGGAGGTGAAAACATTAATATTTACATGAGTTTAAATGAAGAGTATAATGTACATTCGTGGTTTAGTTATTTCCTTGCAAACGAAATATCAATATGGACCCAAATTGACTGTCTAATAATTCAGTTTCTTTATCTATATATTTTCCGCGTCCATTTAACATTATTTTAAGTGATTACATAAGAAGTTGAATTTCTGAACTTTAACTTATAGAGATTTAACTTATAGTAGTTTGATTACGGGTAGAAGAGTTTTTAAAATTACAATATACTAAAATAACAAAGAGTACTGTTTTAGGTTATTTTCACATTACAAAAATATGAAAATTAGTATCACAATTGTGAATATATATTTGTCTTTTGACTTAAAACTTATATTATTTTTATTATATTAATTCATAAAATAATGAAAAGATAGTATTTAATCACATTTAATTTTTAAAACGTGTAATCACCACCATTAGGAAAACCGAATGAATATCCTTTTTTAATTAAAAACAATGTTCTCCTAACAAGTTGATATAGTATGATGTACAGCTATATTTGTTTCGTTGTTGTTGGCATCGCTTTTATTTATTCATGCTGATCTTACTTATTTGTAGAAGCAGAAAATAAAGATATATATGATGATAATTAATTAAGTCTTCCCCTACTAAATTGTCTTAGGAATGAACTGATTCTTCTTAATGCTACGTACCCTCTCTAAACTCCCAATATTGTTAGTTGTTAGTATTGAGTAAAAAGCCAAGTAGTAATCACATAATGGCCTAAGCATGTCGATGTGTGAGGAGGAGTGTGTTCAATCATTATTACATTACAGAACGAAAGTGTTAAATTGTAAAACAAATCACATTTTTTTTAATAGAAAGATATATCCAGGGAAGAGTTGCTATCTTTACGCAATTGGCCAATGAAAACATACACAAAATGGTTGTTCTGTCTGTCGGATAAAGAAGAAACCTCTCCTAAGACCTCTTTTTTGTTCCTTTCTCTTGAAGAAACACACTCACTACTCATCAAATATCTCTTTATATCTCTCTCTATCTATATATCCTTATTTGTAAAATGAATTAACATATCTTTCAATCATCGTCATACTTTATTAGAATAACTGCAAACGAGTTTCTTGATTTATAATGTTTCTTTCCTATTCGCAACTTATGATGTATTGTTCAATAGTTTCGAGAAAGAAAAAAAGAAAGAAGAAGAAAAATATGTATACTTGCCATGTGATACGTGTATAATGTATTTGCTACTAAGTCAAGGCAAGAAACCCAAGAAGACTTGTTAAGAGATAGTCAAGACTTATATACGAGATCGTGTACGTACGTACCATATTAATCGAGATCAATGATACGATTTTACAAGAAACTTAAAAAGATCAATGATGATACAATATAATTTGAAAGCATCTAGCTAGTTGTCTACCATAGTACCATCTATTGTTATAGCCAAATGGATTGTTTAACACATATATACGTTTAAAAATCCCAACACTACGTGTAGTATATAGTGATTTTTTTTTTTTGCTAGGGTCTAAATAGAGATAATGTAAATTAAGATTAGGAAACGAATTGCACCATCTATAAGAAAAATTGTTCTGTTCGTTTTGTCATTGTAAACGTTTCAATTATAGCAAACAACATTCTTTATTCCTCTTTCTAAAGGTCTCGATGATTAATTAGCTCAAGATCTACCTCTTCTTCTTATATATTGTACAACCAAAAAAAGAAGAAGATTCAAACCCATAAAAACAAATTTATTACCATAGAGAGGAAACATCAGAGGAGGCCGACATTTTTGTACAAGAACATTTATAGAAATGTTTTGTTCACAGTACAAATATAAGTATTGCAATCGTCATTTGTTTTTTTGTTAATTATTAGTTGAATTATAAGATGTACAAATCGAATTTTTTAAGGCTACGGGTAAAAAAAAAAAAGTAGGTTTAACAGTTCTGTCCCTAATTTACCGCTGCCACTTTACTACTTTTATTTTATTTTTAACTGTGAAAACTTAACGAAACTGTCCTTCTTCTTCTTTTTTTCTAAAAAATATAAAATTTCCTGAAACTTAACGAAAACAGTTAAAAAATAAACATAGATCGGCCACCATCTTTAACGGCGCTAACAAACCCCTTCCCTGCGAGTACACAGTTACTCGCCATCTCTCGCCGTCCACGTGTCCCTCATGCGTAGCCAGGTTGAAAAGAATATAGAACCGGCGCGTGAACTTGTCAGGTCGCGCGTGCCTTTCCCTAACTGGAAATTCCACAATGAAACGAAGGGCAAAAGTGTCGTTTCACATGACCCCTCGAGAGATCACTGTCTTCTTCTTCCTCTTTCGCTTTCTCTCTCTTCTTTTCTTCTTTAAAAAAGGGGGTTAAATAAAGACTCTCTCTTCTTCACTTCGCGAACTCACACAAATCTCTCTTCGTTAAAAACCCATTTTTGTATCGTTGTTGTAAAGCTACATTTACTACTACGAGGAAGAAGAAGAAGAAGAGGAAGCAGAACAGAGTTTTTTTGTTTTGTTTATTGAAATGGAGAAAAAACAAGGCTTTTTCTCAGCTCTCAGAGACGAAGTTGTGAGAGGTCTTTCGCCGTCACGATCCAGGACAAGGTCTCGTTCCGCTAGTCCTGCTCGTTCTAATTCGCCCATGTCAGCTCTCACTTGGGGGAGAAAGAACTTCACCGGAGGAGGAGACGTCGGCGGCGGAGGATACTATTTGGCGCAACCGGAGCAGTTAATCGGGAGATCCGGGAGTTTGAGACCTGTAATGGAAGGTCCTGATCCAGATGAAGGAGGAGGAGCTGGTAATATTGGAGAATCTAAACGACTCGGGTCGGGTTTAGGCCATTGGGTTAAAGGCCAGCTTTCTCGTGCTCCGTCTGTCGCTGCGACGGCGGCTTATCGGAGAAATGATCTGAGACTTCTTCTTGGAGTAATGGGAGCTCCTCTTGCTCCTATTCATGTCTCTTCCTCTGATCCTTTGCCTCACCTCAGCATCAAAAACACTCCAATCGTTAGTCTCACTCTCTCTTCTTCTTACTTCTAATGTTCAGATTTTTTTTTTTCATCTTCAAGAGATTTTGATGTTGAAAGTTTCTTCAGATTTACAAAAAAAATTTCATGATTTTAGAATCCTTTAATGGTTTGTTTTTTTATTTAATTGAATTATTAGTTCTTCAGAATGTTTTTCATTGGTCGTTGGTTGGTGGAAATTGATGTCATATTCTTTGGTGGGATTTGATATTTTCTTACAAACTATTTGAGAATATTGAAACTAGTTTAGTTATTGAGTATTATTAAACAAAAAGTTTTAATTTTCCTCTTTGGTTTCTTCTTCTGAGCCTTATTTGAAGACTTTTTACTGTTCATCATTGTACTGATTCTTCTTTTTTGGCGTTCTTACTGTTTCTTGCAGGAAACATCATCTGCTCAGTATATTCTTCAACAGTACACTGCAGCTTCCGGTGGTCAGAAGCTACAGAACTCCATTAAAAACGCTTATGCCATGGGGAAACTCAAGATGATCACCTCAGAGCTTGAAACGGCTACTAGAACTGTTAGGAATCGAAACCCATCCAAGGCTGAGACCGGAGGTTTTGTTCTTTGGCAAATGAATCCAGATATGTGGTATGTTGAGCTAGCTGTTGGTGGTAGTAAGGTTCGTGCTGGCTGTAACGGCAAGCTCGTGTGGCGACACACTCCTTGGCTTGGTTCTCATACCGCCAAAGGACCCGTGAGGCCTCTTCGCCGTGGACTTCAGGTGAGACTCTGTTCAAGTCTTCAATTTTTCGAGTTTTTTTTGGTAGTTCGAGAGATCATAGAGATCCTTAGTGTTTTTTGTGGTTTGGGGATGATTCAGGGACTAGATCCGAGAACAACTGCTGCAATGTTTGCGGATGCGAAGTGTATAGGAGAGAAGAAGGTGAATGGAGAAGATTGCTTTATTTTGAAGCTATGCACTGACCCTGAAACTCTTAAGGCGAGGAGCGAAGGACCAGCTGAGATCATAAGGCACGTTCTCTTTGGCTACTTCAGTCAGAAAACAGGACTCTTAGTTCACATTGAGGATTCACATTTGACCCGGATCCAGTCCAACGGTGGAGATACTGTTTTCTGGGAGACCACGTACAACTCATCCTTAGACGATTACCGCCAGGTCGAAGGGATCATGATTGCTCACTCAGGACATTCGGTTGTGACCCTTTTCAGATTTGGGGAAGTGGCGATGAGCCACACTAGGACAAAGATGGAAGAAAGCTGGACGATTGAGGAAGTTGCGTTTAACGTTCCTGGTCTGTCCCTCGATTGCTTTATACCACCAGCTGACCTCAAGACTGGTTCTTTAACCGAATCTTGCGACTACCCACAAGAGGAAAGAGGGAAGAACAACAACCTCGCATTGACTGCAGCGCACAGGGCCAAAGTTGCCGCCTTGGAGAATGGGAGCTTTGAAGATCACCGCCCGGTTTGGCATACTGATGTCTAACGTTTAAAGAGAGCTTATGACTAAAACAACCCTTGAAGGTAGCATTAGCCGATGATGACTTTCAGATGGAAAAAAGATCAGGTGCAATGTGTTCATACGCCGGTAACTTAAGCTAACCCCTTTTAAGCAGCTTTATTGATTAGGAATCAGGTTTGTTAGCATAACAGATGATTCACGGGTTCAAACCGAACTCGAACGGATCATCCTTTTTTACTCTGAATCTCAAGTGAATGAGATGGAGTTTTGGATTTGGTTTTACTTATCTTTCAGTTTGGGTTTATTTTTTAAAAAATTCTCACCTTCAATATTTTTGAGTAAGGTGAAGGCAAGAGAAGGAGAATTGCCCTGCTTTACTTGTAGTTTCTACCAATTAAGTGGTTATGTTAAAATCAACCCCTCTCTAACTAGGAATCTTGAATTTGTTCATCTATCTTTTTCAATTCCATGGAGATAAGTTTGTCTCTTTTTGCTTTTTTTATCATCTCCAATCTTTTGTCGATAATGGACTCTGGTTATTCCTGCCATGTTATGATTCAATATCCCTCTTGGCCACTTGTTGAAGAAAGTGCAAGAACATAATGTGAACAAAACAAGAAAGATGCCAAAGAGAAAACAACATTTTTCACATCGATCAAGATAATGTGAAAATAGTGTTTTTGGATTTGGTCTTTGGGGTTTAATCGAATAGTAGTAGTAACAAATAATGTGAACATAGATAAACTCAAACTCAACTCCTACTTGTTTGGCAACTTACGAAAAAGAAAGAGATAGAGATAGAGATAGAGAGGACCCCTTTGACTCTCGAGAGTCGCATACACACACACACACACACGGACACATTTATGACTATTTACACTCAAAAAAATCTCATTTGCATGGTTTTAACAAATTTTGAATATATAAGTATGTTTTAGTTTAACATAAATTTTTGGATACGAAGTTGAGTTCATATTGGTGAAAGATATTTATTACGTACTTGTTAAACGCACCATCGAATTCCTAAATATTTATTTGGGTGTATTCAATAAAATTGATGGTGGGGATAGGATCCTTATAAATGAATGATGAATGAACTCTTGGGTCCATTTTGACTCTTCTTTGAATGCTTCTTGGGGACTATCTTTCTGCTTTTGGTTAAATTTATGACATTTTATTTTATTTTTTTCAGATTACAACTGTCTTCACTTTCCAACTTTACTTCTTCTTCTTTTTCTTGTTGGTTTGTTTTTTAGTATCTCACTCTCTTCTACAGTATTTATATAAGAAAATAAAGATAACTATATAATAAGAGGAGATATGAAAATGAAATTATAGTAATGTTGTTTCGATGGTATCAAAAGGATTGAGAATATGTGTATGATTCATGATATTGTCGTCCTTTAGTAGTGGGCACCTCATGTTGCAAAATTCGCAGTCCCTTCGCTTATAAGATATGCCTTTTTTTTTTTTTTTTCTTCTCTTTTGGGGTAAAAAGTCTGAGCTAATCCTTTTTTTTTTCCTACGAAAAAGCTTTGAAAAAACTGAGATAGAAAAAATCTTATATTTTTAGCCTTTGTGTTGATTTTTTGTTTTATTTTGACTACTAGCTTGGTTTTATGTGATTATTACAATGAACCATTATTTTCAGGGATGTTGAACTATTTTTATTTCTAACAATTACTATCATCAATCCACAATTAAGATCGGTTGTGTGAAGAAATCTTTAAAGATTGAAGACTTATCTATTTAAATAGTATATGTGATCGAAACACAAAGAATATTATGCATGAATGTGTACATTAATAAATGTATTTGGATTGATAAGTTTGTTATAATTTCAACATCAATAGTGCAAAAAGTTTGCCACTCTCACGTTTTGAATTTGAACCTCTTTATTAGGAAAAAAAAAGCATCCTTTACTTTGTATCAAAACACTTTATAGAAAGCTAATAACATATGATCCAAAGTCCAAGTAGACCCAACCTTGGGAGATCATTGCATAATTCAATTATGATTAGAAAACATATCTTCCAATTAAATTAATTAATTGATAATATCCAAGATTCAATAGTATTTATTACGAAAATAACGTTTTTGAATTTGAAGATCAAACAAAGCAATTAAGCATGATGATAATTAGGTACGTTGTCTGTAAACCTAGTGACATAGATACAAGGGCAAAGTGACAAAAATTCAGCGATTAAGAAACTATTCACCTTAAGCTTGTATGTAAATTTGATTAGATTTCAATCAAATCCAAAAGGTACACAAAAGGCTTCAAGAGAATAAACAAACGAATGGCCTCCAACGACGAAGGAGATCATTAAATATTTTATTTATAAACATGTATATAGCTAATATCTAATAATTATATACTAATAAACAAAAACAACTCAAACCGGTTTCAGAAACAGTGTTTTAGAATTGCCAAAGTCAAGTTCATATTAGCTTGAAGAATCATAATTTAGCTTTAAGGAGAAAAAAGAAATAGAAAATAAAGGTAAATATATAAGACACATTACTATATATATTTAGGATAAATAGTAATAATACAAACAAACAAAATGAAATAAAAAAAAAAAGCTAGAAGAAAGAAATGAAAGGGGGCATGTGAAAGAACGTGGGAAGGTATGAGAGCATATGATCATTTGAGACATGGACATGGGAGAAGCTTTGATGTACTTACTGTCACTTAAGCCACTCTGTGTGTTTTTATTTTTTACTGCTTTTTCAGCTCTCTTGTCTTTACCCCATCATACACCAACTCTTTTGATTCTATATATCCCTTTTTAAACCTCCATCTCTCTCTCTCTCTCTCTCTCTCTCTCTCTCAACCAACATAAACAATTTGTAACCGTACTCTCCTTTTTTTTTGGGTAGATATAGACACTAACAATAACTCATTTCTTGAAAAAGATTTCAATGGTAAAAAATCACTTAGAAACTATATATGATCACCTTATACTTCATATAGCATATATAACCAAAGGAAATGTTTGGGAAGAAAGTAAAACTTGAGATTTTTTTTAAAACACAACTCAATTAGACACTTTAATAGTAGAACACAACTGAGTACAGCTTGTGTTTGCTTAATTTAACCCCAAAAGAAAATGTAACAAAATTGTCGGCAAAGATTGGTAAAGTATATGATGATACAGAGAAATATAGAAGAAAAAAAAATGGGGGGTGGGTTTGAGTCATTCATTGATGTGAATAATGCCATTTTGATCGTTGACAGTTCTGTTTCTAGAATTTATTTCCACCAAGACTTGTAAATCTTACCCATATCGAAGGGCACCCCAACGTAGAATAATAATCCTTTCTTTTCTCTCTTTTTTTCTTTTGGGTACTACTTATAGGACTATAGGAGTGCCCACCACCTATCAAAAATTAATTAATAAAACATTGTATCTGACCTCTCATATCTTACATTTTGATTAGCTTACTATATTTCTTTTTATCAGCAAAGATTTATAATTAATACGCCGTGTTTGATCGGTTGCAATACACAATGATTCATTGAGACTTCATATTTAGTACATGTGTTTCTGTTGAAGACTACTACTTAATTACTTATAATGTAACACTGATGTCGCTTGAGAGCAGAGAGGTCATAACAATATATTTTATGTTGGCCGTTTAGTTTGCATGAAATTGAAATGGTCGTCGTTACACATTTTCTGGGTTAAATAAGAAATACAGAATTCAAAGACGCCATGTGGCGATTATCATAACAAAAGTTTAATTAGGAACAATCGTGTGACCGATCAAGAGCTATGACTAATGAGTACTCGCACAGAGTCACAGTTCATCATCAGTTTCTTCTTATCTACGCAATTGTATTTGAGTTTGTCTTTAATTCATAATATATTCAGAGAATAATGATAATTTTTATCATAAAAAAAAAGAAGCAAAATGATTGAGTCATATGCATGGAAATTAGAAGTTGTATTAAGCGTAGCATTAATTGTTAGGCTCTCTAAACGAAACATACACACTCTCATGTATAGGGTAAGCATATATCTAAGTGTCTGGTACAGGGTAAGCATATATCTAAGTGTCTCACCTTAGCTAAACTACGAACTTGTAGCTCTAAAATGTTTATGGCTCCAGCAGCTTGAGGGTTCTTGCCGCAATTAATTAAGTGTATGGCCACATCTTAATTAACTATTAAACCTCACATCTCAAAAGTTCTTTTAACAAGTCACACAAAATCATCACATAATTCACAAGTCACACCGAATTAACTATTAAACCTCTTCATCCATCATATATATGAAAAGGATCATAATCAAACGTTACGTTGTACGTATACCGTTCCTCATTTCCTTGAGATTATTCAATATACATAGTTACATACTATAATATATATAGTTTCCCCTTATGATTTTGTCATCTCTCTCAATCATAAGATTAATTAGTATTAACTATTAACATATTAATTTGATTTTTCTAGTAAGTAAGGTGATGATGAAGATCAGGATCTGGTTTATCAACACCGTCGACGTTCCTAATCCAAAACGTCATGTCCAAGGAGGCTGCACCGTCAGGGACGTCTTCCATCACCGCCTCTTGTCCCGGAGGAAAGAATATTCCGGTGCGTGGGTGTGGTTTCCAGCTCTCCTCTTCGCCGCCAAAGTTGAGATTATGGTCAGAAATATCTTCAAAGTAACTGACGGTCCTCGGGTTTGGTTTCGCAGCTTTGCTACTTATTCCTGCAGCACGCCCTTGAAATTGCTTCCAACTCCTAAAATCATCATTAAAAAACATATTATAATTAAACGCTTCTTCTTTTTTTTTTTTTTTAAAAGACCTCCAAATTTACTATTCTACTTATGTACGTATCAAACATTTTTAACATTCACCTTACTAACTTATAGTTATATATATATATATATATAGTAGCAAGATTCTAAATCTACAAAACATATTACTTAATAAAATATCACAATATCTTATATATTTATATTTTGACAAAATAATAATTTCTTTTTAATATATAAGGTTGGAATTTATGAAAATAAAAAACAGGAATATATATATATATATGTGTGTGTGTGTGGGCTTTTTCCAGCTTCTATGACGTGTTTTGTACTAATAGGATTTGATTAGTGAAAGTAAGAGACGAATTTGATTAGCATTATTAATTGACCTTAACAGCAGCGTTGGTGCTTTGGCGATCCCCGTTCTTCCCACCATCTGTTTATATGTTACTTAGTTATATATAGTATGAGAGTGTATATTTCTATGATCAGTCTATAACTTGAGCTTGTGTTATGTTGTATCTTTGGTGATCTATTCTATATATACACACCATAAATTGTACGGCTAGAGAATCTGGAGAGTGGAGGGGAAAAGAGAGAAGACAAATCAAAGAGGATAGTATTTTAATCAGCTCGATACTTGTCTTATTTTTGGTTAAAAGTTGTTACTTGTTAGTTTGAAAGAACTTATAACGTGTGGAACGTTTTCAATCGATCAATGTATTTGTTAGGAGATTATACTTAGGGTGAATATGGAGACCAGCATAGTTTAACCAATTTTTAAACAATATTCTTCCGTAATTAACTTCTTTAAAAAAAATTAAAATAAATATTAGCAGAAACTTTGCTACTTCTTGTAAAATTCATTCTACGTTATTGGTAGATTGGGTAGACTGCATGATTTGTAAACTACAAAGATAAGAAAACTTTTGATAATTCCACGTAATTAGAAAAAAGTCTTCGAGAATATCAAAGTACAAAAGTGTTATTTAATTTATAATAAATTAAATTATCGATTAATAAGTGCCATTGGTTCTAAAGATGTTCCGATCGAATTTAATGATCCGATTATGATATCGGATGGTGATAATATTGGAAGAAGTATATATATATTTCAACATCACTTGTATTTTTCAGTAGTACTTGCAGTTATACGTAATGTCTCTATAAAAGAAAAAAGAAAGAAAAAACATTTAAATTAGCTAAACGAATTTCTTTTAAACGATACACATATAGACTACATGTACTTTAAAAGAGTTTGGAAAGTTTAACATATATATTTAGCTTTTGAATAATAATCTATCTAGTGTCTTGCAATTTTTTTGTCATCAATTCTGAATTCTTTTTATCTGCATGCATATAAAAGTTCAAGCAGTTTAACATATATATCCATGCATGTGTTTAGTGTTTACATAAACAAAAATATAGAGTACGTAATTTTTTGTTACAGCTTTTTAAATTGGAAACTTAGAATATATTCCATTATGCACATTTGTGTAGCTTCATAAGGAAAAGTGCGAAATCCAATGGAAGATATTTGTTTTAAAAAAAGGTGAAACTGTTTTACGACAGACAAATCAAATTCAAGTTATTGTTTCTTTTGTCTATATTAGTAAAAAAAAAAAGTAGTGAATAAAATTTGATCTTAAGTATTCTACGCAATTGGTTGGTATAATTTTGAACCAATCCTTATCAAATATATGCATGTTTTGAAAAACATGCGATTTGTGGAGTTGATAAACTTTGTTTTGATAGAAATAGTACATGCAAAATACCAGCAGGGCCATATATATTTTGGAACTATTCTATATTAATACGTTACAATGAGATTCTATCTTACGTATGTTATTGCTTAGGAAATTTACCATCCCATTTACTTAGCTTCGGTATATGTTTCACAGTTTCAGTATTGTATTTGTTTCAGTTAGTTAATTAGGTTCTTTTTTGATAAAAGAAACTCGGAAAAATTGATTACAAGTATACTATAAACAAACTACTAAACATTTATCGACATCATCGATCTCTATCGTGACTCTTATATAAATCGAACCCATCGTATCAATATCATCGACCCAAATCCGCTCCGGACTTTGACCAATTTCGAGAGGTCTATATATGTAGTTTGGAATATAGTGTGGAATTCACATACATATAATATAATTTTGTTTATCCCAAAACTATAGAAAGAAACAATATGATTTTATATGCCTTTGTTATAATTGGTGTAAAGAACCCTTCATCTCAGCCTCAGGTGGGAATCTTTTTAACCTTTTTTTTTTTTTTTTTTTTTTAACTTCCTTATTATTATCCTCGTTTCCCATTATTTCTTTGTTTCGATGTGACATAAATTTAGAATTATGCTTCAATTTATAACCTCTCAAGTGCAAAGGTGTGTAGCTTTAATTTAAAGAAGAATATAATCACTATATGTTTCTAGCAAACTTTAAGTAACGAAAAAAAAAAAAAAAAAAAACCGTCAGTTTCAGTAAATCATGACTTTTTAAGCATGTTGGTTTTAGAATCTTACAAAAACTATAATACTAATACATACTTCTAACTGTATTTTACTTTGTTTGGAAAAAATATTGTCTAATTGTTAAAAAAGAACTCTCAAATTTTTGCCAAAAAAAAAATCTCTACAAGAGAGAGAGCAAATGAAAAAAGAACGAAAGAAAAATGAAAAGTCCCTTTGTATGTCAACTTAATTAGAGAATTCTATTAATTAAAACCAAATTACTAGTGAGAAAGAAAAAAAGTTCTCCTAAGGCCTAGCTCTTCCGGACAGTGAAAGGCACATAGTAGTGTCAAGTGTGACGCTAGATAGGTCTGACTGAGACTCGAGCATGGCGTTAAAGAGAGAGAGGTACAAGGACAAGAGTTACCAAGTTCCACTTGTCATTCACAATGTCTTAGCTATGATGCACCATTTGAGATTAAAAAAACCTCAGGACGCCTAGATTCTTTTTGGCACTGCAGTTTATTCTTTCTTGATGTTTCCAATCACATTCATTACATGTAATGAGTGATGTAGCCGTTTGTGGTTTTAGTGAGACTTTGGCTTAAGTTGGTTAATCCAAATCTAAAGAAACATTAACCTAATTCTCTATCTCAGTCTCTCATCCCATGAATTCTTGGATTAATTACATGGTATATGTGTCCATGGCTCCACGCCATAGAAAGTGATCCAATAAGCAAAATATGAGAAACAGAGAAGATATCAAAAGCAATAAACTTGAAAAGACTTGACAAAAAGAAGTGCAATTGGTTTCAATCCAAATATTGAAAATTAGAAAATGTGGGCAGAAATATAGTTTAAGTGAATTATACTTATGGTATATATACATCCTGTAAACCATAAGCAAATACATGTTTCTACACTTACTTGTATTGTTTTCTGTACTTTATCCAGCAGTTGAACAATACATAAATAAATTGCATCCTTACAAACTATACAAGACTTACCATGCGCCTTTAAAGATTTTGTGCAAGAATCACATACTTTTGTTGGTCTGTCTTTTACATGTGATGATCATGGGAGAAGACTAGCAGAAGACTCATCTCCATGTTCTTCATCCAACTGTGACTCTGATGGAACTCCTGAAACTGGTCTTGTTTCCTCTGGGATAAATCTAGCCCATCGTTTCTCCTTCACAAGTGTTAAGAACGGGTACAGACAGAACCCGAGAATGATAATCAGGCCACTGATAAGAAATGTCTTCGGAGTGGCCAAAACCATTACAAGAATGACAAGCAAAGAAGGAGGCAGGCACAGCAATGAAACTCCAAATGTGTTTAAGGGGACTCTATAAGGTCGATGGAGATCCGGTTTCTTAATCCTTAGTTTGACAAAGGCTGCGAATTCTAGAAGCATTCCTAATGCGTACAAGAAATTCAGAAACTCAATGATCTCTTGGAAGCTCATCCACGAGAGGAATATGACTCCTGTAGCTGAGCACAGAATACTGATCGTTGGTGTCCCATACTTTGATCTGCAACACACAAAGCATGTTAAACCAAGTTATTCACGGGAATCATGACCCATACACACTCTTGGAGACAATAAAGGGACTGACCTTTGAGCAAAAAATGCAGGGAGCATACCGATCTCACTCATACCGAGAAGCTGAAATGCATCACTACTCATCTCGGCTTCAAACAATCCAAGATTAGACATTGCAGCAGCTGCTTGGATCCATCCCTTGAGCCAAACACCTCCAATAATCATTCCAACCTCAGCAAAATACCCATCACTCCACTCGTCAGTAGAAGATGAGCTTAAAGCACCAGTCCCTGCCATGAGGGGAATCAAATAGGACCCCATGACCAACAAAACGGCTCCAAACAAAGCCTTTGGAAACGTCTTCCCGGGATTCTCCACTTCTCCTGCAAGAGTACTAGCTTTGTCCCAATAGTTCAGATTCCAAAACATGGTATTGAAGTACCCTCTCCAATTAATCTTCCGAGTATCCACAAACAGCCAACGCTTAGGCCTGATTCGAGGAACCGCAAGTAAAGCCATTACAACGAAAGGACAGAGCGAAAAAATCGCTAGCACAACAGCTGATAACCCAACAATATGCAATCCTCTATAGTTCAAATAAGTCAGTGAGAATGTAATGCCTAATAGAGCAGGAACACGAGCAGCTACATGATTCAAAACCGGGAACGAATGTTTCAGGTAATCAAGAAACAAAACAGGGTACAGAGCATTATCCATAACACCACTGAACCATTTCCAAAACCCTTCCTGGAATCCCCAGAACGGACCAAACGCTGAAGAGATCCAAACAACGTAACCACCATTCTCAGGGAAGCTTGTGGCAAGCTCTGCCGTAATCAGAGCTTCGGGTATACTCCAAATGAGAGGGAAAATCAAGAATCCTAAAAGGGATAAGAGAGGACCACCACCAGATTTCACAGAATCCTCCACACCAAAAGGTCCACCAGAAACTTCATAGAAAATCAGAAACACTAGAGGCAATAATGTCAGCTTCGGACTTGATTTAGTCGTCTCAGAGCTGGACTCATCGTTTATTATTATCTCTTCACCCATCAATCAGATAGAGAGACAGAGAGAGAGAGAGCTCTCGGTGTTTCTATAGAAAACAAACAAAAAGATACTTTTTAAGTCGAGATTTTGGATGGTTTCAATAAAAATCAATCCTTTGCTTAAGAAAACATCAAAAAAAGTAAGAGCTTTTGAAAAGCTCTGTTCAGAAGTCAGAGGAATTGCAAAACAGAGAGTCAAATGAATCGATGGGGAATGAATAGAGAACCTGTAGATCGAATCAGAGTGGGCTTGGTCTTGGTGCAATAGCCCAAGCTCGCCAGTTGAATTGATGAAATGGATCTCTGAATCTCCCTTTCTCTGACGAACCCTATAAATTGATGGAGAGGAAGGAGATGGAATTGATTGGAAAGATTAAAGCAGAACAAGATTCCATCTCAGATTTAAGATTGAATGTGACGTTAGATCAATATTAAATATCTTTGTATAATTGTTTTTGTGGGCGTACGACTTTTGCATTTAGTTTGTGTAAGTTATAAGCCGCAAGGCTCCCACCATTGCAATTTGCAACTACCACCTGCATCACTGTATGACTACGACTTCCTCAAACTTTTTGGTTCTCTTAGGTAATTTTTTTTATTTACTTTTTGACTGTAGCAAATTTACTTTTTAATAAATTATATAACATATGGAGACTGTAAGTCACATTATTCGGTGTGGATTTTGTATATTATTTTTTGGGATTTCTTTGGATCATATTAAACAAAAAAATCAAAGTCTTAAAAAAAGAAAAAAGAAATGATTTTATATTATTGTTGAAATAAAAATCTTATATTACTTAATAGTAATGGATATCACAAAGTCTAATAAAATTCAATTTTTTTTGGTAAGATAATAAAATTCAATATTGTTACTGATTTGCAAAACATTTTAGAGATTGGATTTTAATGATTTTAAGGGATTTTAGTGGATTTTAAGAAACCACATTGATTTTTTTTAATTTTTTTTGGACACATATATGACCTAACTTATTTGTTTTTAAAAAGAAGCCATAAAGTTATTAAAAAAAAAAAAAAAAAAAACCTAATTCTCACTTGAAACAATGACTACAATGACTGATCTTTCTCGGGATTTGGAAGAGGAGATACTGTGTAGGGTTCCCATAACTTCTCTAGGGGCAGTAAGATCTACTTGCAAGCGATGGAACGCTTTATGTGACGATCATCGCTTTACAAAGAAACATTGTGGTAAAGCAGCCAAGGAAACTCTGGTGATCAGGATTTGTGATTATAAACTTTGTTTAATGAGCATCAATCTCCATGGAGATGATCATAAGGTTATAAAGCAAATAGGTAAACTACTAGTTAATCAAGTCGAGATATCTAAAGTGTTGCATTGCGATGGCTTGTTGTTTCGCTTTACTAATAAGGATTACTCGGGGCTCATGGTTTTGAACCCGTATTCCGGACAAAACAGGTGGATCCAACCCAGTGGATACTACTATTTCGATATAGACATGTTTTATATCGGATACGACAGTAACAACAACCACAAAATCTTGAGGGTTTCCCGTTGGTCTAACCACAATGAGTACGAAATCTACGATTTTAAGTCTAATGTATGGAGGGTTGTTAATGTCACTACTAAGTGGACAATATTTCGTCGGTGGAGTGTGTCCTTGAAGGGGAATACCTACTTCACTGTTGTGGGAAAACTCAAAGGACAAGGAGAGTCCAAAGAAAATTGTTTACTTTGTTTTGATTTTACAAGAGAGAGATTTAGGCGGCGCCTTCTTCCTCTGCCATTTCACTCTAGTACACAAGGTTCTCTAATTGTATTTCCTGTTAGAGGAGAAAAGCTTGCGGTGTTATTTGAGAAGTATGGTGCATATGAGACGAAGATATGGATCACAACAAAGATTGAGCCTAATGAAGTGTCGTGGAGCTACTTCTTAAAAACTTGATAGATTAGTGTTGAGTGGGATGAGATATGGATTACAAGAAAGTATATTCGTCGACGAGAAGAAGAAAGTAGTAGTGATTTTTAATATTGACACAAAAAAAGAGGCACAACAACAAAGCTTACGTTTTTAAAGAGGATGGATACTACAGAGAAGTTGATCTTGTCGGAGAATCTAAGTGTCGGATGATTATGTGCTCTTATGTTCCAAGTTCGATGCTAATCCAGTAAGGTCCGCTACAATTAATACCTGCATGTGGCAAAAGGAAATGATTAGTCCATTATATAGTTTACAAATACATTTTCATTCATTTTTATGTTTCTTTTTTTCCTCAAGTGTTCCCATGTCCTTTCGAACAAGACTTACTTGGTTTACAGGGTTTGCTGATCATAAACCAAACTTGAGTACTGTTTAGGTATCAAGAGAAAAAGTTGAGAGTTAATTACATCATTGTAAGAGAGTCTTCGGGTGTGCTTGTTAGTTGTTGTTAATTATATAAGAAGAAGCTTAATGACATGTAATTATAATAGCTCAGTAGCTCTACTGATTTTTTTTTTCGCTTGGATGGTTTATTAACAATATTCATATCAATGGAGCCGTTCTCTTTCCCATCTATATATATCTAAAAGATTATCAAAAGCCAAGAAAACAGAGGAGGCGGCATACATCTTCAGATCTTCTTCTTCTATCCACCGATTCTTCATTACTTTAGAAATTCTTCTGCGTATATCTTCTGAAAACTATGTTAACCTTCCTAAGTGTTACATGACAAGTGATATATATTACAAACAAATTAGACAACAGTTACTTTTGTTGATGTTTTGGAAATTATAACAAACAAAACAAAGCACGAATGCTAGCTTTTAATTAGTCTCAGTACTGAATTTAGAAAATACAAGGAAGCTGATTCAGTTCCAGAAAAAACTTCTTGCTTAAAGAAAGGCTCACTCGAGAACCCCATAATTTACTTTTATTAATTTAGTAGCAATAGTTTTCCTGAATCTTATAATATTTCGCTATTTAGATAAGAGTTAGAAAATCACGTACTTATCTTTGTGATTAAAAATATTACGAAACTTTATAGAAACGACACTGGAAAATATATTTTATGGAAGCTGAATTAAAATTCTCTATGTGACACATGCATGATGCTATAAGTTAACCTAACTTATTTGTTTATCGTGGGCTAACGTTTTCTCTACCTTAAAACAATGACTACGATGTCCGATCTTTCGCATGATTTGGTAGAGGAGATAATACGTAGGGTTTCTATAACTTCTCTAGGAGCAGCGAGATCCACTTGCAAACTATGGAACGCTTTATTCAAAGATCAGAACTTCACAAAGCACAGTGGTACATCATCATCAGCCAAGGAGATTATGCTCATCATGATCCGTGGTTGTAGAGCTCACTTAATGAGTCTCAATCTCTATGATATTCATAACCGCAAAGGGTGGATAGATGTATCTGTAAAGGAGATAGGTAAACTTAACCAAGTGGAGATCATTGAAGTGATTCATTGCCATGGTTTATTGTTATGCGTCACTAAGGATCACTCGAGGCTCCTGGTTTGGAACCCGTCCGGAAATATCAAGTGGATCCACCCCAAAAGCAACAATTTCCATACATTAGACAGGTTTGCTATCGGATACGACAACAACAACCACAAATTCAAAGTCTTGAGGTTTTACTATTGGAGTTCACACATTGAGTATGAAATCTTCGACTTCAAGTCTAATTCATGGAGGGTTCTTGATGTCACTACCGACTGGAAAATACATCGTCGGGGTGTGTCTTTGAAGGGAAATACTTACTTTATTGCTCATGGGAGATTGCAAGTGGAACATGGAGAGTTTTTACGTTGTTTTGATTTTACAAGAGAGAGATTTGGACCGCGTCTTCCTCTGCCATTCCACTCTTGTCTTGACGATTCTGTAATTCTATCTACTGTTAGAGAAGAGAAGCTTGCAGTGTTATTAAAGAGGTTTGGTGAATATGAGATTGGAATATGGATCACAACTAATCTTGAGCTCAATGAAGTGTTGTGGAGCAACTTGTTAAAGGTTGATGTGGAACTATACGCCAAACCATTTAGGTTTCCACATGGGAGTTTCTTCGTCGATGAGAAGAAGAAAGTAGCAGTGATTTTTGATATAAGTAGGGAAACGTGGACCAACTACGAACCTTACATGGTTCAACAGGGTGGATACTACACTGGAGTGGATCTCAAAGAATCTGACCGATGGATGCTTATGTGCTCTTATGCTCCAATTTTAATGCATATCCAGTAAGATCCCGTACCTTCATAAGGCAGAAGAAAATTAGGAGGATATTACTATATCCCCTTATATAGTTTAAAATACTATTTCATCATTTGTTTTGAGTTTTTAATGGATTCATGTTCCTTTGGAGTTTAATTATGAGAGGGAGGGCGAAAATTCAAATGCTAATTTTTATTCGAAACCGTGACAATGATGTCCGATCTTTCCCAAGATTTGCTAGAAGAGATACTCTCTAGGGTTCCATTGACATCTTTGAAAGCAACAAGATCCATTTGTAAACAATGAAACACTTTATCCAAAGATCATATGTTATGTAAAGCAGAAACAAAACATCAGTTTCTAAGATTTATGTTTCAATGAGATTCAATCTCCAACGTATCCTCAACGAAGATGTTGAAAAGTTAGTTAATCCATCAATAAAAGAGATGAGTAATTTATTTAATCAAGTCGAGATGATTGAAGTCATTTACTGTGATGGCTTATTGTTATGCGTCATAAGAAACTATATTGGCCTCGTGGTATGGAACCCGTATTTGGGTTAAACCAGTTGGATCGAACCCATAAACGCTTACAACAGATTTGACATGTATGCTCTCGGATATGACAACAACAAGAATCGTTCTTAGCAAAAAAACAACAAGAATCGTAATCACAAAATTTTAAGGATATTTGAGATTTATAATGATGAATTGATGACAACTATGCAAAGAAGTCATCAGAGTACCAGATATACGATTTTAAGTCTAATTTATGGATCACAAGCCTATATGGTATCATTTTGGTGTCTTGTCTCTCTCTTTTCTTTTTTCGGAAATAGACTAGTCATATTATGTGTTTCCTATAATATTCAAAAGCTTTGTTGCCCCCGAGGACTTAAACCAGAAGTTTGTATGGATCAATAGATTGAGCTTACTGGGTTGTATTTTATTTTCATTTACCTTGGGAACTTGATTACCTGAACTAGTTTATGGACAAAAACATTTTATCAAATTCAATGATACTTTGCCAAGCTTAAAAATATTTTAACTGTATTAGAACTCGAATGCAGTTTTACATTGTAACAGTAGTAGAAAGTTTTACATTTATCATAAATGTAGTCTTACCAGTGTATTATTGATATAGAGAGTAACGACGAGAGCTTTTATTTGTTTAGAGCTTATAAATAATAGTCACGCACGGCACATCATTAATGTAGTTGTTTTCGGATTTGCCTTTAATAGCTAAAAAGCAAACGAATTAGGTATTCTTACTTTCAGTTTAATTTAGCCAATTGCTAAAAAAAAATTCATCAAAATCAAATCAAAGCGAAAATTATAAAAAGATCAGCGAAAGCTCTCTCTTCTCTCTCATTCTCATATAACTTAAAAAGGTTTCAGAAAACCCCAAATAAATCCACCCTTTCAATTCTCACATCTTTCTTTCTCTCTTCGCTGCGAAGCAAAGGAATATGCAAAAAATACCTTTGGGAGTCTCTCTGCTTTGCTTTGCATCAAACAAATTTTGCTCTTAAGGTTGAGTGGAAGAGGATACTGACAAATCTCTGTAATGCACTGTGAAGATCTCGAAGAAGAAGAACACGACGAAGACGAAGAAGAAGCAGAAGCGATAGATTGATTTCTCGTAGAGAATGGTGGCTGCGGTTCCTCTAGCAGCAATCTCCACCACCGACCCTTATAAGAATCCACCTCGAGATCGCCAAGATAAACCTCAACTCTCTTCTAACAATGGCGGACTACAACGAAGACCTAGACCTGCTAAAAATGTCCCCTCTCGCTACTTATCCCCTTCTCCTTCTCGTCCTCATTCTCATTCCACACCCACTACTACATCTTCTTCTTCTTCTTCTTCTGCGGTTGCGGTACTGAGGTCGAGTAAGCGATATCCTTCCCCTTTACTCTCTCGCACCACGAATTCTGCTTCTGATTTCGTTAAGACGCCTTCCTCGTTGCTCAAACGGTCGCAATCGGCTGACCGTCGTCCGCCGTCGGCAGTTTCTGACACTGGCACTGAAATGTCGGCGGCCACGAAGATGCATATCACCTCCACTAGGAGTTTATCTGTTTCTTTTCAAGGAGAGGCGTTTTCGCTTCCGATTAGTAAGAAGAAGGAGACTACCGCGCCGGTTTCTCACCGGAAATCTACTCCGGACCGGCGGAGGTGTACACCTGTTCGAGATCAGAGGGAGAATTCGAAGCCGGTTGATCAGCAGCTGTGGCCAGGCGCTTCTCGGAGGGGAATTTCAGAACCTGTTGTCCCGAATTCACTTTCTACAAGTGTGGATTGTGACAGTGATGATGGGAGGAAGCTTGGATCTGGCTTTGCGGGAAGGTCGACGTTGCAGCATTCTCAGAGTTCTAGGGTTTCTGTTGATGGAAGATTAGATTTGAGAAGAGGTGATGATATTTTGGAAATGAGAGATGAGAGCAAGACAAGACCAAGCACACATCCGCAATTGGGTTCTAGTGTCTCGTGTGACTTTACTGCATCTGATACTGATAGTGTTTCATCTGGTAGCACTAATGGTGCGCAGGAATGTGGTTCTGGTGTCCATGGTGAGGTTTCTAAAACAAGGAGCTTGTCCCGTAATGCTATGGGTTCTGCTAAATTCTGGCAAGAGACTAATAGCCGGTTAAGGCGGTTGCAGGATCCTGGCTCACCTCGATGCTCTAGCCCAAGTTCGAGAATCAGTAGTATCTCATCGAAGTTCAGTCAATCGAAACGGTTCTCTAGTGATAGTCCGTTGGCATCATCACCTCGTGGTATGTCTTCTCCAGTAAGGGGTGCCACTCGCCCTGCTTCACCAAGTAAGCTTTGGGCAACAACTACATCATCTTCAGCTAGGGCACCTAGTCCTTCTCGCGCGAGAAATGGAGTTTCCGAACAAATGAATGCTTATAACCGCACCTTGCCTTCAATTCTTTGTTTCTCTGCTGATATTAGGAGGGGGAAAATTGGGGAAGATCGCGTTATGGATGCCCACTTGTTGAGGCTTCTGTACAACCGTTATCTACAATGGCGGTTTGCCAATGCTAGGGCAGACTCCACTTTCATGGTACATAGACTGAGTGCAGAGGTATTCTTTCTTTTTCTTTACCCCATTAATGCTAAATAATTTTGAATAATGTGATTGTGCTTGCTTGGATGGCAACTGCTTTTAGCCAATGCAGAAGACTTAGGGGAGACATGATTTGTCAGCTACTTTTAGCTTTTGGTGCAATATAAATGTTAAAGCCTCTAAACTACTTTCGCTATAATGCCTTGTTAATCTACCAACAAGGCTTACGTAATGCTTCTCTAGTAATCTCTGATAAGCTTCTTGAATCTAGAACATTGTTTGATTTAACTGCTGTGCCTTTGTACATCTTGGATTGCGCTGCATGCTAGTTTTTGCCCAATGCTAGATGCAAATACAAACGGGAATAATTGTGAAAAAGTTATGAAGTCTTGCTATCATTGGGAACTAGGATATTCATATAGATAGTTAAGATAGTTGAGTCATTGGTTTGGTCCAATAAACTAGACACAATCTGGTGAACGCAATATTTCCCTTTTCGACAGAAAAACCTATGGAATGCATGGGTATCAATTTCGGAACTGCGCCATTCTGTCACTCTGAAACGGATCAAGTTGCTCTTGCTGAGGCAGAAACTGAAACTAGCTTTCATCTTGAAGGAGCAGGTGAGAATATGAAAGTCTAGGAATTTCATAATTTTTATCCTGTAAGCAAGAAATATTCCATGTTTAGATTCTTACCTTATGAGTTCAATGTCACCATTGAAGTTTTTTCTTAAAATTTGAGACCAAACTGGTATTTTCAGAAAAATTTGGCTTAGGAGGAAATGTAAATTAATATACAATTCAATACTGGCAATGATAACTGCACAGTTACAATTTTACAAGCTAATGTGGAATGTTGATTGTTTCTGTATGGTATATTGTAGTTCTGCTTTTGTGGAAGTTACTATCATTATTAATTGCGTAGAATCATCGTCTCATGGCATTCTGAATCTTTGACAAGGCAACACATGAACGCAGTTTATTTCAAAAATCCAAAACTTTTGACATGTGTAAATAAAGGAGATTATGACTTGTTTTCAAGTAAAAGTATTCCGATGCTGACGAAATCATTGTATGTGAAAATTGTAGGTTGGTTATCTAGAAGAATGGTCTCTTCTGGATAGAGATCATTCGAATTCTTTGTTAGGAGCAACTGAATCCCTGAAAGCGAGCACGCTTCGTCTTCCAATTAGTGGAAAAGCCTTGGTGAGGGCCACTTGCCTGGCCCTGATTTGTGTGTTTCCTGTTTTGTATCTTAAGGTAATAAAATGGTTTTAATGTGTTTTGCGTTGATAGGTTGATATCCAAGATCTCAAGCATGCTGTTAGTTCAGCAGTTGATGTCATGCACGCTATGGTGTCTTCTTTATTTTCGCTGACACTAAAGGTAAATGCCTCGTCTCAGTGATTATAACGTGAATGTTGACTATGGAAGCTATCTTCTCATTGCTCTTCTGTGCAATATATTTTTGCTTCGGAGAATATAAAAAAACTATGCAACATGTAGCTTCGATGTACTTTTCATGTGCAAATACTGCAAAGGTATAGTTATCATGAGAATACAGAGAGGCAAACCAATTTCTTGGGATCCTATCTCTTTGCCACTTTTAATGGTTATTATTAGATAGAAAGTGGAAACTCGCTGTTGTCCATTCTTATATGCATATGTTCAAAACCAATTTAGTTCTGAAAGTCCTCTAATGCATTTCTTTCGTCAAAAGGCTAAAAATCTGTGTATTCGTTACTGCTACATTAGCTCTGGTCAGAAAGACAGAAACTAGAACCTGGTTGTATGAAAAAAATACTATTTTCTTGTGTTTTGTTGACCATAGTTTTAATCCCGCGTTTCTCGGTGCATTTTCCTTTCTTTTTCTGATGTCATTGATAGGTAGAGGACATGAACTCGGTAATGGCAGAAATGGTGAATGTCACTGCAAAAGAAAAGGTTTTGGTTGAACAGTGTCAAGGATTATTATCAAAAGTAGCAGCAATGCAGGTTTGAATGCTCTCTTGGCTTTCTGCTTTTGCATTTTCTTCCTGCTCAGCCTTTATAAGCAAAAGCATGCCCTCTTGCTAGGTTACGGACTGCAGCATGAAGACGCACATAATACAACTAAGCCGGATATAAACCAACCTGACTTCACAACTGTAGAAACTGATCTCCTCTGAGTTTACACAACAACTCACACCACTTCACAACATGAATGATTTCTGACAACGTTTTACATTCCCACGGCCTTCCCTCGGAATCCCAAAACCGCCTTTGTCGTTTTCAACCGGATGAAGGTAAGGTTCTTGGGAGTATCTGTTCGCTGCACTCTGGATTCAACGTTTTTTAAGTTATAAGTTCCTGCATTGGAGATTACAGAAGAGAAAGGTGAAAGAATAGAATGTGGTGTTTAGTTTTACCTATGAAGTTAGCTTAATTGTATACAGAAAAAGCTTCTAAATAGATCTTTTCCTTATGAAGAAAAAAAATGTACATAAAAAATGAAGATATCAATCTCTCTAATTTAAAGTTTGGATTTCTTGCTGTTTTCTCATTCCCAATATGTCGTTCCTTCTTACTGTGTGTAGACTGCTTGTCGTTTTTATTCGCCGCATCAATGCGTCTTTAGTACGTGTTTGTGTCATTGTGTGCTAAAAGAACAAGACAAATGACGTCAGTCTTTTCATTTGTTTTAACTTTTAAGTACAGAACCCAACAGAGACAACCAAGACTTGGTGACCAAGGATCGATCGGTAATTTTTTATTGTGTTCTATATATATAAAAAATAAGAAACAAAAAAAGTGCCTTTGTTTGGATAAGATTATAATTGGCAACACGTCAAGAAGAACTTCACAGGTTTATATGCAAAACGACACGACTGGAATGAATTCAATTTGATAATATTGTTTTAGTAATTTCATTATTTTTAATCTAATAAAAGTCTAAAACACACACAAACTTCGAAACCTTTTCATACTTGTCATTCACGTAAAATCTTAACTCCGAACTCTCTTATGTTCCTGTAGTGTTCTTTTGGTACAAGACATCTCAGCACCGCCAAACCAAAATAGCAGTCACTTTTATACACTTAAACTAGGATATGGTATTTGGTGAAAACTTAACCAAAAATATATGTTGGAGAAGTAGTGGTGTATGTGGTTCTTTTAATTACATTAGCGACGCGTATTAATAATGACCTATACTTAATAACGTGTTTGGTTCTGATTTTAGTACGATTTAGGTAGAACCGTACTCGTATATGAGCCAATACAAGTTTTCTTGTTTCGTCTTCTTTCTCTCTTTTAAATATTTCATCAAAGCAAAACAGAAAAACGAATATTTGTTTGGTACACTTAATCAATTAATTAGAGTGTGTTAACTTGAAAAATTCAGTTAACTTCCTAATATCAAATTAACCAAACGCTATAATATTAAAATTCCCACTTCCGGTAGAAGTTAGGCTCTAATGAATGTTTTTAAGTGGCCAAGGAAACTTTATATATAGCTTTAAGCACATACCTAAGAACAAATCCGTGGTCACATCCGTATTTATTGATTTCGCTTATAAAAAATCAATTTTTCAAAACACAAATTAAATAATGATGCATGCATTGCTGCTAACAAGCATGTGCAATTAAATTTATAGATGTTTTTAATACGAAATAAATAAAACAAACTGTAGGGGATACACTATAGTTTTAGTGGCCGGCCAATAACCATATCGGAAGGTATGACAAAAGAATTTATAAAAATGGTTATTTTATATAAAAAGACCAAACTCTAAAAATAAATGTAATACATGTGCCAAATAACTAATCAAGGCAACGAATCACCCCACATGGAACGATTCTCGTATTTTCCCAAAACTATTTCTGCTCTGTGTTCACACATAGAATGCCACGTGTCCAATATATTTATATACAGTGGACTCATTAAAGAAGAGATTTAGTTACCAAAATGAAATAAAAATAAAAAAATTTCTGACTTTTGTAATCAAATCAATCATCAAATGTTTTTGTATCAATCCCCTAAAACAAATTTACGAATATTCAAATCCAAATCAGAAATTGTAAACTAAAAAAAAAAAAGAAACTATGGGTGTTTTTTTGTTTTGTTTTATAAACGAATTACAAGAATATTAGATTCTTAAAGATAAATCAGCTTCTTTCTTGATGACTTGGTCGTGATCGGTCAACAAAAGCGGTTTTTTACCGGTCAACGGACTCAAGATCTCATCGTCGGCGATTGGGTTGTGATGAAGGCTGAGCTCTGGTAACGCCGGTAGGTTAAGATCGATGAACCCGCGGTGGCTTCTTTCTTCCGATACCGTGCTTGACACGCTTCCGCTGTGGCTGATTGATTTGCTTCCTCCTCCACCGCCGCTTCCGAGGTTGCCTTCGTAGTGACAGCGTTTGTGACCGCCGAGAGCTTGACCCGTCGGGAACACTTTATGACAGATTGAACACTCGTGGATCTTGCCCGATGCGGAAATCGGATGTTTTTCTCCGGCGACGAGGGTCGGAGCTGCCGTTGAGTCATCGGCGTTAGCGGTGATCACGGTTGGTGGTTTGATCCGGTGGCTAGCTTTGTGTCCGCCTAAAGCCTGGTAGGAAGGGAACGCTTTTCCACAAACGCTACACTTGTACGAAAGGCTCTTAGATTCTGGCGGCGGCGTTTGCGGCTGGGGCTGTTGGAATCGCGTTTGAGACGGTTGGTCTTTGGCGAGCATGAGGAGACAGAGAGCGAGGTACTCTTCCTCGGTGAGATCAGATTTGGGACGAGATCGAGGCGGAGAAGAGGAAGAAGAAGAAGGGCTGTGAGAACGCTGACGTTTAGAGCGTTTGCGTTTAAGCCACGGCTCCATGAAAACGGCGTCGTTCATCAAATCCTCTTTGGTATCGATCCTGGTGAAGGAAGATGGTGAGTTCATCGCTTCGAGAGCCATAGAAAACCAACTGTGTTCTTTGTTCGTTTCTTTTAGATCAGAGAAATTGAGAGGAAAGCTCAGAGGCTTTTATCGCGAATATGGTGTGTGTGAGAGAGAGAGAGAAATGGGAGAGGAGGAGAGTGAAGTGCTTAAGAAATGTGTTTGGACTTGTTGTTTTTATATATGGAAACCACGTGGCAGATTTGGGTTCAAGTCGGTCAAATTTTTATCTTCTTATTGTCAAATATACTCCTTAAGAGATAACCTAATTATACACTTTGGTAAAACATGGAAGGATATTTTCACAATATTATATCATATTATATCAACAAATGTTTATAACTGCTATTATTTTATGACAACATAATTAAGCTCTTTCACCATGTGTCAGATAAGTAAAGGATATGCTACAAAAATAATAGTATCTTATCATATCTTTTTAATACTTTTTTCTAAAAAATAATTAATTTTGTTAACTAATTTTAACACTTTCATATTAAGTTGTTATTGTTTTATTAAAGAAGTAAATAATCCAAACCAGAAAAGTAAACCAAATTTGACCAAAAATGAGAACAAAGGGAAACTTACCGTAAAATACCGGGTTGATTAGTTTTGTTTGTCACGGCTGACCTAAGAAGTTCTAGTCATCACGAGTGAGAGACCGGTTCAAAGTCAATAACCAGAAAAGTAACAATTTGGTAAACCCACAAATACTACATTTTTTTTTGTTAAGCTAATTATAAATTAAATTAAAAAAATTAATAATAGAAAAAAGAAGCATACCTTTCCCGTGGAGCTGACTTATGTGTTGGCTACGCGCCACGAGTCGTGTGGGGCACGCCTTAAACCAAACGCGTACACGCCTAATTACGTTTTTTTTATAAAACTTTTATTTTCTAGTTCTAATCTTCTCAATATTTACATAAATTTTATCATTTAATCTATCATCCATTAGCATGATCTCTAGTTATTTAATAATTAATTAATTAATAGTAATTCATCCCATGCTAATCATTCCATTAATTTCTCAAAATTTGATAGCAATAACTCTAAAATATTCTGAAACTACAAATCGGAATTTTGTTTTGTTTAAAAAGAAAAAAAAAAGAATAAGAAGAGGAATGTAGTAGAGAGAGAGAGAGAGAGAGGGCTAAGTTGAGTGGAGTTGAGTGTAGGTGAGGAAAAAGATAGGGTGTGGCGTGGCGTACCGTATTAGTAACTAAAACGGGGCGTGTTTATAGGACACGTGGTGGTTTCCGTTACCACGGAGGGCACTTTTGTTGTTCTACCCAACAAGCAAAAACTCTTTTAAACTAAAAACAGTGGACGTGATTTATCCAAACGCGTTGGCGGATACGTCACGTGGCATTTACACACGTGTCACTTCATTTGCGCAGACAACATTTTTTGGGACTATGAGGAGATACAGTTTCAGACGCTTTTCTTTCTTTCTCACATTCCAGATTCTCTCTTCTCCTTCTTCTTCTTCTTCTTCTTCTTCTTTTGGGCTTGCAAGATTCTGTATAATAATATGGGCCCTGTTTATAGCCTATTAAGATTTAACTCATTATCAGACGTGTACAGGCCCAATTCAAATTTGTACTTTGTTAATGTTGAACAGATGCTTCCCCGAAAAAGAATAAAAAGAAATAGATCTAATCGACCCTCTCGTCACTTTGCAAGTGAAAAAATCATTTGAATTCAAAATTGAAAAAACCACACTTCTTTCAAATCTCTTCTCTCTCTCTAGAAAGCCCTAGAATTTTTGTGATCGTCAACGGGAACTATGACTTCGACTCCGTCCGCCGGTCGTGAGCTCTCGAGTCCGCCGTCCGACGGCATTTCCAATCTCCGATTCTCCAATAACAGTGATCATCTCCTCGTTTCTTCGTGGGATAAGGTTAGTGAAACCCCATTTACTCATTTGACTGAACTCCTCTTTCCTTGATCTCAAGTTATTTCCTCTTGTTCTGTGTTTGTTTGAATCCAAGCATGTGAGATTGTATGATGTGAGCACTAATTCCTTGAGAGGCGAGTTTTTACACGGCGGAGCAGTACTCGATTGCTGCTTTCACGATGATTTCTCCGGCTTCAGTGTCGGCGCCGATAACAAAGTCAGAAGGTATTGTCTTCCCTTCTCTTTTCTTCTCTCTGCCAATTTATCATTGTTCGTTTGAAATGAGGATTTTTTTGGTGATGTAGAACAAAACAGTTGATTTTATTCCGATTACCCCTTTTGATGCGCGATTCTTTTGTGAGTTTGGTCCTGAATTTTTAGTTTTCAAGTACTGCGTATTAAGTTTGCCTGCTAATCTCATTATTTTTAAGGTGGTTATTTGGCATAAGAAATTAGCAATGTTTCCACTTTGGCTGCCTAAGAGTTTGTTGATTCTTTGGCATCTTTGCTCACGAGTTGTTGATTTTTCTTTATATTGATAAGTGATGGCTATGCGGTTTCAAACTGAAATTTTCTACTTTTAGAATATGCTCATGATAAGTGGTTTTTTTTTCTGGTTATACTGCAGGATTGTTTTTAATGTCGGCAAAGAGGACATTTTGGGGATGCACGACAAAGCAGTGCGATGTGTTGAGTATTCTTATGCTGCAGGTAGGTAGAGTGGTAATCATATTTTTGAATGCATGCTTGTTGAACATTAACACTGACAATTTCTGGTGCTTTGAAAGTTTTAATGTCAGCACAACTCGCAGCTAAGCAAATTCTGTTAACATAATCCGGTATTACATAATGTAAAACGGCTTATTTAATACCTTAGTTTTCATGGACCATGAACTTTGTTTCTAATCTTATCTTCAGCATTTTGGTTATTTCTTAATGTCCTAAAGTAATGCTGACACATTATGTTTTATGTGCTGTTACAGGGCAAGTGATCACCGGATCTTGGGATAAAACAGTTAAATGTTGGGATCCAAGAGGCGCAAGTGGGCCTGAACGCACCCAGGTGGGAACATATCTGCAACCAGAGCGTGTTTACTCTATGTCACTTGTTGGAAATCGTTTGGTAGTGGCAACAGCAGGAAGACATGTAAACATATATGATCTCAGAAATATGTCTCAGCCTGAGCAAAGAAGGGAGTCTTCACTGAAGTACCAGACAAGATGTGTGCGTTGTTATCCTAATGGAACAGGTAAGATGGCTGAAATATTGTTTCTGTGGTTGATTGCAGTATCCGGGTTTGCTATTCTTCCACTTCCAAAGTGTTCCTTACTCTCAGTTCCTCTTATTCCACATTATTGAACTGAATTTCTGAAATTTAAAATTTACAGGATATGCTCTTAGCTCTGTTGAAGGAAGGGTTGCAATGGAGTTTTTTGATCTATCAGAGGCTGCTCAAGCTAAAAAGTATTTTCCTTGTGTTTTTCTTCTTTTTTCTTTTCCACAACTTCGACTTACAGATATCTTTGAACTTGTTCTCAGATATGCTTTCAAATGTCATCGCAAATCAGAGGCTGGGAGGGACATTGTTTACCCTGTAAATTCCATAGCCTTCCATCCAATGTGAGTTCTTATCTTAGATGGAGTCCAACTGCTTCATAGATTTCTAGATTTACTACTCCTTACAGAACACTAGAAGTTGAAATAATAGTTCAACTAAATAAGGACTTTGAAATTTAGTTCATAGCTGCTTAAATGCTCATATGCTATGTGTGTAAACAGTTTCTGTAACCAATTTCTATTTCAGTCTAATATTAATTAGAAGATATGATAACTTATACTTTTTCTGAGAACTAATGGGAAAAGTTATAATGCCGAGAAATCTCTCCTGTATTGCTACTTTCTGTGTAATCATCTGCGATTTTTAATTGCAGTTATGGCACCTTTGCAACTGGAGGTTGTGATGGTTTCGTTAACATTTGGGATGGTAACAACAAGAAGAGGCTATATCAGGTTAGTAATGGGCAAGATCATTATTTTCTGAGTGTTAAGTGTGGCACAAAATTTATCTGCTCCTTGTTCCCTTTGTAGTACTCAAAGTATCCAACAAGTATCTCGGCACTGTCATTCAGTCGAGATGGTCAGCTACTGGCTGTTGCTTCAAGTTACACGTTTGAAGAGGGAGAGAAATCGTAAGTAGCTTGTTCCCTTTCTAATTCTTTTACATTTTTAGAATACTGTGCCTTTGAAATCTCTGATAATTCGAACTTTGGTTTGGTTGGTTGCTTACTACAGATAATAACTTAGCATAGAAGTATATTGCTACATTAGAGAATCTCAACCTAAGCTCTGATCTATATGACCCTGTGCCTCACTTTGTATTTGTTTTCGAGTTAGAATTCTCTTTGATTGGGTCTCTGTGTGTGAGGGTTTGCAGGCACGAACCGGAGGCCATCTTTGTAAGAAGCGTGAACGAAATCGAAGTGAAACCAAAACCCAAAGTATATCCGAATCCTGCTGCGTAAAAAGGGAGAAATGCCAAGTTATTTGCTGTGTTTTTCGTTTTCTTCTTTCTTGTATTTTGCTAGGAGTGTGCCAATGATTAAATCAACTGATCAACGTATGTTTGAGCTTTTAATTAACTAGTGAATCACCCACATTCACCGTATATGTTTTAAAGTCTTGGTAGTCAATGTATCTTTGCAAACATATTTTATAAATAGACAAAGCTTGCAATGCTTATATTAAGTTTCTACAAAGTTTAGAAGACAGAAAGAGATCATTCTACAGATTCTTCGTTGAGTTCAAAGTCTATTTCTTGTAGCAGCAACCTAACGTCCTTTGCCTCCAACTCTTCCTCGACGCTGAAGAATCTGCGGTGAACTTCCTTGAGCACCTTCAAAACATTCGCCAACCCACCGTCACTTTCACTCTCGTCTGTCTTCTCCTCTGAGTAAGGCTTTGACTCTTGGCCTTTGAGTCTGAAATAGTTGTACTTGCTAATATCCACTAGGTTACTTTTGTGGTCAGGCCAAATATTAGACGTATCGTCCACAATCAGCACCCCACGCTCCTCAGCCAAAACCAAATCAAGCGTCTTTGTATAATGATTCTCGTCTTTTGTTATTACTCTATCCCCAAAATAGAGTTTCTTCGGATCAATCAGCTCCAAGGTATGCTTAGCATATACGCGACTACCCTTTGTGTTAATATACATCGTGTACATCTCGTTGGCTTCTTTCAAGAAGTCGTGTACAAAAGGTCGTAGCTTTGTCAAAAATTCCATTGGATCTCCACTGGCTTTGATTTTCCATAGATCTTCTCTCGTTGTTGAACCTGCTTCTTCGATTAGATACTTCTCTGCTTCGGAGAGACGTGGAACCTCTTTAGTGTGGAGAAGCGTGTGGTCCAAGTCAAGTACAAGGTGAAGCTTCTTCTCGTTGAGACAAGTGAATTTCGTTGTAAAGCACTTGGTTAACACCACAGCTTCGTGGCTTAGCTGTAAACCGTCGAAAATATAATCGAATGCTCGGCCATGGCTTTTGTCCACTGTTGATTTGCAGGTTATGCAGCTTCCATGAAGAACGTACCAGTGAGCACAGCTACTAGAAGAAGAGGATAACGATAACGATGACTCGTTGATCTTTGGATCGATCTTTTGCCTTTTAGCTTGTGGTCCCGAAGAAAACTTTTCAAAAACGGACATGATTTTCTCTGATGATAGTTGAATAACCTAGCTTGATCAGAAAGCTAGACAGAGGAGAGAAAAAGAGAGTTGAATCTGAAATTCAACAGAGTCGTTGTAGTTTATAAGAGATATAGACGTCGCTATATTATAAGAATATTGAGATCCTGAATTTGATAGGATTTTTTTTAATATAATTATCTTCTGCTAATTGATTTTAATATATATCCTTTTGTTCTATGTGTTTTCTGCTTATTGGGTACTTCACTTCTCCAAAACATATTGTGAGACTTTTAGTAGACGATATTGGAAAGAAATATTTCTTTGTTATACTAAAACAAATAGATATATTATACTAAAACAAATAATAAATATATCTATTGAAATAACTATTTCTTTATACAAAAGTAAAATTTTATGTATTATCCTATTAAATCAAGATTTAGTTTTCAAAATTACTACACGTGGTCTAAATTTGTTAGTATATATAAAAATTGTTCACAACCCTATCAAATAAAATATATATGCATGTAAGAATTAAATATGTATATATATAAGTAAAAATATATATTTTGTGACAAAAAAGGAGAGTAAATAATATTTATATCTTAATACATTCACGAAAACAATAAAATTTCACTATATCACAAATAAAAATCTTAAGGTATTACACTATTAACTTGGTTAATAATATTTTATTATAATAAAAAAAATTTCCTACAAGAAAAAGGAAATTAAAAAAATTATTAACCTTATTATAACAGTCGAACATTCTCAAATAGAGCTTCACATGTAGCAAAACAGTCAGTTTGAGGACTCAACTAATACTAAAAGTAGTGAGAGGTGTAGTTAGAAGTTGATAAGCAATTTATTTGAATAACACCTTAAATTTTAAACAAATTCAAGCACTTCACTATGTGTCATATGCTTTTTTTTTTTTTTTTTTTGGTCAACAACTATGTGTCATATGCACAATTAGTAAAATCATATGCAAAAATTTTGGTGCAGAATATTAAGTCATTTCAATCAATATTGTGAGAACATGTTTTCTGAAAATTAATGCAATGTGTCATCAAGTGATTTCAATTTTTAAGAATTAAACAAAAATCCAAAACACTTTAAAAAGTAGTAATTGCTTGACCTGGTGTTGGTCTTAACCTGAGACAATCTTTAGAGAAAGTGAGAAAACATATGTAGAAAACAAAAATCCTAGTTTCACGACCAAAAAAAAAAAACCCTACATGGAAATTGTCTTTTTAGAACAACTGGTGTTGGTGAGACATGAAATTGGTACTACGTTGATGACTTAAAAAACAATTTATCACAACATATATGTTTCAATAGAATCCTAAAACTCTTGTTCCTCACACTACCACAAGCCTCTGGAATCATCATCATCATCACCACTTCTTTTTTTTTTTTTTTCATTCATCTCTGTTATCGGACCAATGACTCACTTGCTTGTTTTTATCTGAAAATCGTTTTCCTGCTCACTGCTCATCTCTTTAAACTATTCCATTATACTGCAGGTCTCATCACTAAATACTTCACAGTTCTCAATACAGCTCAAATACTAACTTCTTCCTTCTTTCTTAAGCCAGTTTCTGACTTCGGTCGATCATGAAATCTCAGACCAGAGGTTGTGACAGTTTCTTTGACAATTTGGGATGGTAACAACAAGAAGAGGCCATATCAGGTTAGTAATATGTGCAAGATCTTTTGGTTATCTTGTTCTATCAATATCAGAGTAACAAAATTTACTGGCACTTCTTGTACCTTTTGTAGTACTCAAAGTACCCAACAAATATCTCACCGGTGTCTATGAGTCGATCAACAAGTTAAACGTTTGATGAGGGGGAGAAATCGTAACTAACTTGTTCCCTTTCTAAACTATTCAACGCTTAAGCAGAACACGTTCTGTTGCTGTCACAAAACCGCATAGTTAAAGGATATTAATCATGTAATATGCGGAACCTGAGTTAGTGTATTTTACAAGCACGAAGCAGAGGCCATTATCGTAAGGAACGTTAAGGAAATCGAAGTAAAACACAAACCCCAAAACATATTCGAATCCTGTGGCATATAAAGGAAATAGTAACACAAGTTTTGTAGTTTACACGAATTAGAGCCAAAGATTGAATCAAATCAGTGTACAAACTTAAAACAAGTTTCTACAAACATAAAAAAGATCATTCTACAGATACTTCGTCAATACGATCAAATTCTATATCTTGAAGCAGCAGCCTAACGTCCATAGTCTCCAACTCTTCCTCGACCCTAAAAATCGATAGTGAACTTCCTTGAGTGATCTTAAAGCATCGGCCAATCCACCGTTGCTTTCACTCTCGTCAGTCATCTCCTCAGAGTGAGGCTTTGACTCTTGACCTTCGAATCTGAAATACTTGTACCTGCTAATCTCCACTAGGTTACGCTTGTGGTTGGGCCAAACTCTGCGCGTATCATCCACAACCAACACTCCACGCTCATCAGCCAGAACCAAATCAAGCGTCTTCGAATCAGGACTCTCGTCTCTTGTTATCACTCTATGCCCAAAATATAGTTTCGTCGGATCAATCAGCTCCAAAATGGCTTTAGCATAATGCCGAGTACCCTTTGTGTAAACATGCATTGTGAACATCTCGTTGGCTTCTTTCAAGAAGTCGCGAGCAAAAGGCCGTAGCTTTGTCAAGTAGTCAAGAATGGTACTTACGTACATGTGATCCCCTCTGACTTTGATATTCCATAGATCTTCCCTTGTTGTCGAACCCGCTTCTTCGATGAGATACTTCTCAGCTTCGGAGAGATATCCAAGCTTAACGGAGTGGATAAGCGTATGGTCCAAGTCGAGGACAAGGTGAAGCTTCTTCATGTTACAAGAGAATCTCGTTGTGAGACGCTTTGTTAACGCTAAAGCCTCTTGACTTAGCTGTAAGCCTTCGAAATAATAATCGGATGCTCGGGCAAGACCCCCTCTGTCCACCCTTGATTTGCAGACCGTGCAGACTCCATAAAGAATGAACCAGTGACCACAGCTATCAGGAGAAAACAATTCAGACCACGGAGGTTGCATGATGATCTCCTGTTCGTTTCTCTTCTGCCTTTTGGATTCTGGCTCTGGCTCTTGCTCCGGAGATAGCTTTTTATCTAGAGACATGATTGATTACTCTAATCTATGGAATCTCAACGTTTAAGTTGAGATTCCACAGTGATAAGATATTAGCAAATTCAACCCCAAAACAAAAACAACAAAAAACCCTAATTTTATGAGAGTGAAACAAACTCGAGATGTCGAGAGAAGTGACAATAAATCCTCAATCTACCAAACTTTGTGCTAAATATTTGTTTTAGTATGGGCTTATCAAGTAAATAGCCCATTTGTGGAGCAACAGATTAGCAAATTCCATAGTGGCATTTTTGTAAGAAGCATGTTAAATAAATAAATAAAAAGTTTTTTTATATATATATAAAACGTTAATTGATAATATATGAAAAAAATCACTGAAAGTGTTAAGGTATCATCCTAAAATTAATGAAGAAAACAGATGTTACACAAGCATGACGTAAATTTTCCGTATGAAAAAAATATTTCTTCTACTAAACCCAATGTAAAAAGACTTAAAGGAAAGACAGATTTATGAACTTATTAAAATATTGTAAATGAAATAGCTTTATTGTGCAAAGAAATTAAAAGGGGAAAGATTAATTGAAGAACACTAAGCTTATTTAGTTTTTGAAATTGATATGATTGATATATCATAAATGGTAACTCTCTGGATTGAGCTCATTGTTGAATGAAAGGTGTTACAGGCACGAACTAGATCTAGATGCCATCTATGTAAGAAACATTAACGAAAACGAAGTGAAACCCAAAGCATATCTGAATAGACTCAAGTGATTTCCAACGTTTTATACGTTCATTCACTTCAACGTATGTTTGAGCCTTTAGTAAACTGAATATGGAATCTGTTTAAAAGCATATGTAGTCAAAATTCATATATATGTTACCGATGAAACGAGATGACAAAACATGCAATGCATAAAATGAAATTTCTACATACTGATACGGTCGAAACCAAGATAGATCATTTTTGACAGTCTTCGTAGGCGACCGAAGTCTACATTTTTCAGCAGCAACCTAACGTCCTGTGACTCCAACTCTTCCTCGACCTTGAAGAATCTACGGTGAACTTCCTTGAGTAGTTTCAAAACATTGGCCAGTCCACCGTTGTTTTCACTCTCGTCTGTTTTCTCCTCCCAGTGATGCTTTAACAATCGGCTTTCGAATCTGAAATACTTGTACCTTCCAATCAACACTAGGTTACTCTTGTGATTGGGCCAAGCTTTACGAGTATCATCCACAATCACCACTCCACGCTCATCAGCCAAAACCAAATCAAGTGTCTTCGTATGAGGACTCTCGTTTCTTGTTATCACTCTATGCCCAAAATAGAGTTTCTTCGGATCAATCAGCTTCAAAATGGCTTTAGCGTATCTGCGAGTACCCTTTGTGTAAACATACATTGTGAACAGCTCGTTGGCTTCTTTCAAGAAGTCTCCAATAAAAGGCCGTAGCTTCAACAAGTAGTCAATGTTTACGGGTATGGGATCTCCCCTGACTTTCATCTTCCATAGATCTTCCCTTGTAGTCGAACCCGCTTCTTCGATGAGATACTTCTCTGCTTCGGAGAGACATCGAACCCTAACGGAGTGGATAAGCGTGTGGTCCAAGTCAAGAACAAGGTGAAGCTTCTTCATGTTGAGACAAGAGAAGTTGGTTGTGAGACGCTTGGTTAACGCTAAAGCCTCTTGGCTTAGCTGTAAACCGTCGCAATGATAGTCGAGTGCTCGGCCTTGGCTATTTTTGTCCACCTTTGATTTGCAGACGGTGCAGACTCCGTAACGAATGAACCAGTGACCACAGTTATCAGGAGGCAACAATGTAAACGAGGGTTCTTTCTTCTGCTTTTTGGATTCTGGTTCCGATGAAAGATCTTTATCTACCGACATGGTTTTACCTGACCTATGAAATGAATCCTTTTGCCAATCCCAGTGATCAAGGATCTTGGATCTAATTTAACCCTAAAAAAACCCTAATTAAATGAGAAACCTGGTCAGAGGAGAGACCGAGATAGTAGTTCGTTTAACAGAAACTGAGATCTCACCTTTTTTTCGATATCACTCGAGATCTGACTTTTCACGTATTTTACTAAGGTTGTTGTATCTGTATTTATTGCTAAATCTTCGTTTTATTGGTTTATCTACTTGATAGTCCATTTGTGGCAAATCTGTAAATACACTGCCATACAAAATTTATACAAGTGTACGTTGGTTGATCAGTATTATAATTAGTTACTAAAGACGTTCCGTAAATTACTAAAAGTCTAAACCAACAGAAAAAAAATAATAATCAGAACAAATGTTGGTTATGTTGATGAGACATGATATTGGTATTACGTTGATGATTTAACAAAGAAGTTGTCTCAATATGTTTCAAAAGAATCCTATAAATCTTGTTTCTTACTCTACCACAAGCCTCTGTTTCAGACTCTGTCATCATCATTATCATACCTTCATCTCCCTCCTCTTCTTCTTCTTTGTCTTCTTTAACAATGGCGTCTAACCAATCACTCAATCGTTTTATATGATACATTGTTTCCCCTACTTGTTGACTACTCATCTCTCTCCATTTTGTTCCATTGCTGATCTCATCTAAATATTTCTCGACACGGCTTAGATACCAACTTCTTCCTTCTTCCTTAAGCCAGTTTCTGAGTTCGCTCGATGCTCTGCCTAACCTCTCCTTTCTATGTCCCAATCCCGAGTCACTTTCGTTTGTGTTACCTTCACGGTTATCAATTTCTTGAGCAATTAGGGTATGACCCTTTCTCCCGGGGCTCTGTGTAGGCTTACTTGCTGATAAAGAAACCAGTTTGAGATCGGTAGCCAATGCTGATTTGATCCACTGAGTCGCCTTTTCGCGTCTCTCATCCCCTGTTTTGACTATTTTTGAGTTGCAACGCTCTGTTTTTTCAGTAGATAGTGATTGAACAATGACCCTGCTCTTGCTTAACTCATCTTGGAAACTCAAGAATTCTCCGATTGGTAGCTGTTGGTTTTGATGATGTTGGTTTCTCCTGTCAGAAAGCTCCGAGTATGACCTTTATACGAAACATTTCAGTTAGATATTGCTTGAGCAAGAAGATACAACTAGTTTGTGTTGTTTCAGTTTAAAGTTATACGTACCTTAGACATTTGAGCAATCTTTCAGCAGCTGAAGCCTCTAACAATGCTTGGGATGCAGCTCGAATAGCCGTATCTCTCTGTCTCAGAATGTCCTGCCAAATTCCCAAATGAGTATTACCTTTCAGACAGATAAAAACACTTTTTTTTTTTATGATTGATCAAAAGCTAGCAGTGTTACCTTTCCGAGATTTACAACTTTTGGTGGAAGAGAATTCCAGAGAATCTCTGTCTCTGTCCAGCTTCTTTGTCTCGATATCGTATCCGAAGATTCAACGGTATTGCTTTTTGGGGGAAGAAGGTTCTTAGATCTATTAATTCCACTTCCATAGCTTAAGCTTTTAGCCCATCTTGGAGATGGTGAGACTACACCATCTCTTCTTCTTGTTCTACTACTTGACTTCTCCTCTATCCCTCCATAACTTCGGGCAGAAGGAGAAGGTGAAGCCTGAGAATTATTGAAAACATAAAATGTCAGACATTGTCTCCGGAGATGTTCTTGCTAAAAGTCATTTCTTAGTAAAACTTACAGCAGAAGAACTTCTTGTTCTTGAAACATGTTTAGTTTCATGATCATGAGTCTTAATCATGGATGGATTTAATGAACCTCTTCTCTTTCTATTATCACCCAAACCTATCCAGCTTCTTCTCCTGGCTACAGAAGATAAAGACGAAGAGCAACTCGAAACCATTGACTCTGTATCATCCTTTTCTTCCATAACACTCGAAAGGCTTTTCGATAACCCCAAATCCGTAAAATTTAACTCAGAGACGCTTGAGTTGCTCCATCTCGTTCTTCTTGGCCTCTTCACTTGGTGATCATAGGTTTGCTCCATATCCGATATACCGACGCAGAACTTTTCTATCCGTTCTTTAGGGATCAGATCAATTGGATCACCGGTGCAAGCCCTTCTACCTGGAGTTGGTCTAATGCCTTTGATCATAGGAACTGGATAAGCGAACTCAAGCTTCTCGACGAATATCAACTGACCGATTTGTAACTTGTCATAAAGAACAAGATCGTTCTCTTCTCGCGGCAATGAGACATACATCGAATGTGTTAAATCTGATATTCTCAAGAAGAAACCTTTGTTTGGCCATAACCCTCCAGCTGCTAAAACAGGGAGTATGCTTCTTATCTGCAGCAAAGCCGGTCGGTGATCGATGTCTTTACGCACTTTCCCGACTCCCATTTCTTCTAGAAGCTTGAAAAGAACACCTGATCTTAAATCAGCCATTTCCAGAAGCATTGTCAGGAAAAACACAAAGAGACAAGAACAGAGAAGGCTACGTTTCTCAATATGTTGCATACATACAAGAACGAAATTGGTGGGATCTAATGTGTTTGTTTATGTGTTGATTCTTTTTAGAATGAAGTAAGAGTTTTTATTGGATATCCTTCATTGTTTTTTTTAATGATCAAAAAGCCCTAATGTGGATATTTCTTCCTTGACTGCCAATCAATCAATAGATCAATTTCTGTTCCTCTGTGTATTATTACATTGTTTTGACAGTTCTCTTTACTATTCTTGGTAAATTCTTGTTATATCAGTCAGATTAAGCAAAAACACAATTGATTATTGTATTTGATCAATATAGTAAATTACAAATAAAAACACAAATTAATTAATTTCATTGGTAGGTATCAAATTTATTACAAATTAAATAGTTTGAATATAAAATCAGAGTTATAAATTGTACTTTCTTACATAAAATCAAGCTCGAACCCTCCTGCAAGCTAAGTCTTTGTTGCTATATTTGGAAAAGAAGAATCTTTATCCACAATTTTTTGACCAAAACCTGATGATCTCTGATCAAACATATCCATTATAACAGGTGGGTTGTACTCCGATCTAGTTCGACGGTGAGAAGAACCCTGTGCTGAAGAAGAACCTTCTTGTCCCATCATTAATGGTCGATAGCTTCGGCTCGATCCAACAGACATCGATCGATACATCTGATGATCACGGTTATGGTCTTTCTTGATAGCATGAATCAGATATGGAATTAGCCCCTCCATTAATATTCTCTGTTTCTGTAATACAAAAAAACAATCTTATAGAAACCTACTATATATATCATGTGGCATAAGAAGTGAAAACAAATTTGTCTTTGTATTGAGTTGAATACTATTGGTTCAAATATTTGGATAAGAATTGACCCTGCTTGTGGTATTATACCAAATATTTATTTAGGTTTTGGTCATAATTGATGATAGCGTTACAGTATTGACTTTTGAAAATAACAACTTTAGTAGGCTTTTTGACAATAACAAGTTTAGTAGAATCTATGGGATCTGTTTTTTTTTTTATATCGAAACCGTTGAATCTCCCGCCAGTCTGACGTTGAGATGATGATAGATTTGTTGATCACTTTTGGAACCTATAACAAGCGTGTGGTGTCCTGTGACTAGTTTCCTTTTACCGTGAGTATCTACAAGGCTAAGTCCTTTGCAGACATCAAACTCAATGGTAACTTTCTCTGTCATGCTTGTTTCAACTTCTACTCTCTCAAACCCTACCAGTTGCTTCTGTGGCACGCCACCACCTACTAGAGACTTTGAACACTTTGGCGGTTTCCAGAACACGAGCACCACGTGGCTTCCAGACCGTAGCCCGTGGTTCTTGACTCCGACATCAATCCGGATCTTGAGATCGTGGCAGTTTACGGTGGAGATATCGACAGATGTTGTCTTGTTGAGGTTCAAGATTGGATTGGTTTTAATGTGTATGATCGATGGAGCTGAGAGAACGAAAGTGGAGAAAGAAGAGTAGCTAAGTCCGTATCCAAATTTGTAAATCGGTTTCCCTGTATAGAATCGGTAAGATCTTCCGGGGAAACCAGAGGTTGAGTTAGGTCTCATGTTCATGTCCGTCATTGCAACCTTATTTGCATACTCTTGTGGGTACCATGTCTCTGGTAGTCTCCCAGCTGATCACCAACAAACACAAAATAAGTAAGTAACTGTCTCTAGGGTTCAATTAAGGGTTAGGGTTTAAATAAGAGGCTTACAAGGATTGTAGTCACCAAAGATGACTTGAGCTATAGCGTCTCCTCCAGCTTCACCAGGATATCCGACCCATAATACCGCGCAAATCTTGCTCAGATTCTTGGCGAATGAGATATCAATAGGTCCAGCCGACATTATGACCAAAATAACTGTTTTCTTTGCAGCATTAGCCACATCTCTTACCAGCTTTTCTTGATAACCCGGAAGGGTTAGGTTAACCCTGCCTCTACCGTCTGATCCAATCCAACCACCAAAACAGTCACATCAGCCTCTGAAACCGCCTTGACCGCTGCTGAAATCAGTGTTTGGTCACCACATTTGACATCTTTACATCCAGGCTCATAAACAACCTTTTCCGGAACATACTTTTGCAGCCCTTGTAGAGGGCTTGTGTACTTACAAGGCAAACCCGCGTAATTACTAATCATTACCTTTGTAGCATTTGCGTTTGGACCTATAACGGCTAATTTTTTAACCTCGTTCTTTGATAACGGAAGATCTCCTCTGTTCTCAAGTAGTACAATCCCCTGCTTTGCGGCTTCCAGCGCAAGCATTTGATGGTCCTTGCTGCAAACATCAGACGGTCCAAGATGACCAAAGGGCAGCGATTTCGGATCTCCATCAAAGAATCCGAGCCTCATGAGAACAATGTAGTTGTAAATCAGCGCTTCATCAACCTCTGATCCGTTCAGCTTCTTAAGCTTCACTGCATTCTCTGTGTACTTACCTAGAAAATCTCCACAGTTCATATTCAAACCTGTTTCGGACAAAACAAATATTTTACTTCTCAAAGATAAAAATGACATATCTAATATATTGATTCTCTTGAGATGATCATCTAAATATGTTTGCCTGCTTTGAGAGCGATAGCAACTGCGTCTTCACGTGTCTTGGTGTAATGAATGTCGTCGAAATAGACCTGGATGGAATCACAATCCGAAACGATGTACCTGCGACCAAGAAAGATTGGAAGAAATCAATACGCCATATACATATAACTCGATCTTTATGTCAAACTGGTTCTTGTATAGGGCGCAAGAAAGTCGAAAACGATACTGACCCGTCAAGACGCCATTTGCCTCTGATAACTCCACGAAGAAGATTAGGATCTGCACAAGTTGGGATACCGTTAACTCTGTTGTAGGAACACATCACACTGCTCACATCTCCTTCCTCTACACAGCTCTTAAATGGCGGCTGATACGTGTCTTCCAAGTCTTGATTAGTTACCTTCCCACCAAAACAATCACATATCCGTAAACATTATTAAGATCAACTCTAAAGGTCTTGGGATTTATGTATTTATATATTACCTTGGCGTCAAAATGGAATCTATCGATGCCTTTCCAGTTATCAAGATCGTAAGCAGTGTAATGCTTGCAGCAGCTAGAGACCTTAAGTCGCCGTGATTTTCCGGCCTCATGAACGTCTTGTAAGCCCTTAACGTAATTCACAGCGTATTTTGAGACAACGAGAGGATCCTCCCCTGGCGTCTCTTGGCCACGACCCCATCTTGGATCTCTAAAGATGTTAACATTGGGACTCCAATAGGTTAGGCCAGCGAGTCCTACATTGTGCATTGCTCGAGCCTCTGTAGAAACCACTTCTCCCATTTTTAGCCACAACGATGTGTTAAAGCTCGCTGCCGTTAATATCGTCGCCGGGAAACTAGTCGCGCCAGGCACCGTCCCGTTGAAACGCACCTTAGAAACAACTTCAAACGTTAGCCTTTAATTACAAAAACAACTCATGTACTATATGTTCATGAAAAGAACTCATGTATACAGTTATGATTATGATGCTTTTACCCCTGGTCCAACATTGGAGACGCCGTGGAGAGCTTCCGACCACCACTCGTACGGAGGAACACCGAGCCTTGGGACTCCTGTGGCTTTGTTTACGAGTTGCTGGACTTTTTCGTTGAGGGAGAGACGTAAGACCAAATCTTTGGCACGTGCTTCATACGACAATGAGACGTTACAGAAACCGTACTTAGCCGTCGCAGGGGCATTTTTATCACATGCAAAGTTTTTCTGAGACTCGCACAGTGATGAAACTAGAGCTGCTAGTAGCAGAGAGAGATTCACAAATCTACTAACTCTCATCTTTCTATGTTGTTTTATCTTATGGAATGGAAATACAGAGTATGGAGTTAGTTTTATAGGCGGGAAAAGGAGTTAATTAGTTTTTACTATTATGATATTTACTTCACTAAAGTTGATTTACTGTTGGTTTTAAAGCATTTACTTCAACTTTAATGATGACATAACATCACTTGCTGGTGAATATTTTAAAAGAGAAGTTAAAATCTCCATGTGATGAAGTGTAGAAGGACCAAGGACCATCTCTGTTTGTCTTACTTGCATATAAGAGTGAGCCAAGTGTTTTCCACAAAGTAATGAGGACAAAATGTGAAGTTTAAGAAAAGAATTTTGAAGAGTGGCTTTAAAGATACTACAAACCATTCCAAATGTCTGTTTCATGTCTCTGGTCCTAAAGTTAGAGATGGAGATCTTCAATGTCTGTAAGTTCTACCATTCCGGGAGTCCTTTTGTTGTCTGGTTGGCTCACGACTAGCTGGCCGCAAGCACCACTAATATCCTGACCCATTTCTTTGCGAATTGTGGTTCGGATCTTGTACGTTTCCCTCAGGATTTTCTGGAAACTTGATACGCTTTGTACACTGCTTGTTTTGAATTGGCTTGTGGACCCAATTGGGTTAAATGGTATCAAATTTATAACCTGTTCGAGAAAAGAGCACAGAGTTCCCATCAAAAGTATCATCATATAATTGCAGAAGCCTTCAAGTGCAAAATCAAAGGTTTTACCACTTGAAATGTCTTTAGCAATTCCCCAAGTAGATGAGCGTGCTGCTCTTGATCATTCACTCCATCAAGCATTATGTACTCAATGAAGATCTTTTGTTGACTGTTATATCCAAGGAAAAAGTCGCACACTATGTTAAAATAATCTCTGATTTAACAGTAGGTATTGTGGTTCTAACATTTTGTAGCAAAGAACCAGTTAAGAGTACCTGTTCTTTTGGAAAGTTTGAAGTGAATCCATAAGCTTTTGTAAAGGAAAGGCTCTAGCTGCTGGCATGATCTGGCAGCGGATTTCTTGAACTGGTGCATGAAGAGATACTGCTAAACTTACACCTGGTAGATCATTGTGTAGCTTGCTAATTGCGTGAACAATTCCGACCTATGCAGATGTAGGAAAATTTATTAGATGACTACTATAAAAAAAAAAGTGTCAACCTACACAGCATTGCATGATTTAGATTTATCGACTAGAAGTCTAGAATATACAGTTAGAGCAGGGAGAAAAATAAAATCAGAATAGAATTTTCTTTTTATCCCCTGAAAACCAAAATTTAAAAGTAAGCATCTTAATCACAAAATCCAAAAGTTGTCTTAGAAATCGAAACTGCAAGATCTAATGGATCAGATCAAATCTTATAGTCTAACAACCTCGTCAAAGTTTATAGGAATTCTACCCAATTCAATTAAATTTCTCCGTTTTACAAATGTCACAAGGAGCTTTCTCAATACTTACAGTTGATATGGTAATTCTTTTTGGTGACAGCTGAAATGGCTGTTTTAACATGACGCGGACAGCTTCGACAACAGCATTGTAATTATTTAATGGCTCTCCCATTCCCTGATCATAAATATCAAACCAAGGCAACAACTGGTGAATAAACTTCATCAACTGAGAAGGTATAAGAAAATAACCTCAACAAATAACCGTAAGGCAAGGTACACATTGTGTATATAAAATGCATTAACAGAAGCAAAATACCATGAAAACAATGTTGCGTATATCAGCTATGCGGGAGGCGTGAACAAGCTGCTCCACAATTTCTCCAGACGTTAAATTGCTTTTAAATCCCATGCTACCAGTAGCACAGAATGTGCAACCCATCTTGCAACCAACCTATTGATAAATACTTCATATAAGATGTCCTTGTCACTTCCACAGCAATTCGATGAACCAAGATGACCCTACGTGACAGAAATCAATACCTGAGATGAAATGCATAATGTAGTTCTTATACCTCCAGGACGTGGTTTGCCTCCACACATCCCCAACCGAGTATCGTATCTCATTACCACAGCTTCCACAAGAGCTCCATTCTTGAATTTCAAACAAGAAGCAAGAATCGAATATGAGTTTATCAGATAACAGAGATATTTGACGCAGAGATTTTACTAGCTCTCAGAATCCATAAAACCAATTTGTTGTATACACAAAGTAAAACCTTTAAGCATCCAAATCTCCTATGTTATCTAAAGGAATAAAAAAGTGGGTGCTTTATGAATTTGTATACAACACAATCAGATCAAGCCCATAACATTGACAAGAAAAAACGAAGAAACAGAGAGATAGAGAGAGTAGAAGAGTACCTGGAGTTTGATGAGGAGTTTTGAGGTGGTGCCATCGGATGAATGGAATAGCGAGTGAAGAGACGAAGTAAGAGTCTTGAACTTGGAATGGAGGATGGAGTAAGCAGCAGAGGGCAATGAAGGAATCTCATCCCAAACGCAATCAGGATTCTGAATTACATACTTCCAGATGGGAATCGCGAAGTTAGGATTTATCCCCGCTGACTCAAATTCCGCTTTGATTTCCGAAGCGTCGAACACAGATTTGAACTTCATCGATTCTTCCTTGTAAATTCTTAGCTCGCCGTCGCCGATTTTAAAGCCCTAAACTTCAAGGAACTTCAAAGGCAAACCTCTCAGTCTTCGTCGTTGCAAAACAAAAAACAAAAAAATCAAAGAAGAAGCTAATTCCGGTTAAGATAAACCCGATTTTATTTTGTAGAGGAGAAATCTAAAACCGGTATAGCTTAACCAATTTGTTTTTTTTTTTTGGGGCTAAAGCTTAACCATTTTAATCCTTTTTTTTTGGCTGACGAGCCGGATTATATATAAATTGATTCGCAAATATTCACTTCAAAGATATCGTCAGCTGCTCGATCTCTGATCACAACAATTGTACGCCATGAGAGGAGCTAGACCCGAAGAATTCAATTTCAATACGAATCCATCAACGCCAAACACTGGACAACCTACACCTCCGTACCCCGCCGGTGTGGGTGGAGGCGGCGGACGGAAGAAAGGCGTAGGCGTGAGGTCGTGGTTGGTGCTTAACTCGTCAGGGAGCGCGGACCCTAAGGAAGAAGGGAAACACGCCATCATGCGACGAACGGGATTACCGGCGCGAGATCTTCGGATTCTCGATCCACTGTTGTCGTATCCGTCGACTGTTCTGGGCCGAGAGAGAGCGATTGTTATCAATCTGGAGCATATCAAGGCAATCATCACTGCGCAGGAAGTTTTGTTGCTTAATTCCAAGGATCCTTCGGTGTCACCCTTTATTGAGGAGTTGAAAAGGCGGATTGTGTGTCACCATCAGGCCACTAATCCTCAGGTAATTGGAGAAATTAGGGTTTTTTCACTATTCATTTGGAGCTTCGTGTGTTCTCCTTGTGTAATGTCATTTTTATTCGCTGATTTTGGTTTATGCCTTATGCATTGTTTGTGAAATGGAATTTGAGGTTGGTAGCTAAATCTGTATATGATGGACAATGGTGCCTGTATATGATACCTAATATCGTGTTGAGAAATGGTTGTTTCTGTGATTTGTGAAATGGTGATGCTGTGTGAAGATTATTATTTTCAAAGTTAGCTATTAATCATTCTCTGCTCTCTTTCTGTGTGTCGAGTATAGGAGGAACATAGCTCTGAGGGAGAAGCTGGGACGCCACAATCATCTGGGGATCAAGGGAGTGAAGCCAAGAAGGGTGCGAAGCAAAGTCTTGAGAATCAAGATGGATCAAAGGTTCTTCCGTTTGAGTTTGTTGCTCTGGAAGCCTGTCTTGAAGCTGCATCAAGCAGTTTGGAACATGAGGTGAATACTTTTTGTTAATGCTCCAAGACAAAGCCTTTTTTCTTCTCCTGTTTGGTGTTTGATTCATTCTTCTTATGTAGGCCTTAAGATTGGAGTTAGAGGCTCACCCAGCCCTGGACAAGCTTACTTCCAAGATCAGTACCCTCAATTTGGAGCGGGTTCGACAGATTAAAAGCAGGCTGGTTGCAATAACTGGACGTGTTCAGAAGGTGTTATGATTCAGACATTCCATTGCTCCTTTTTGATCTTATGATAAGGATTTATCATTTTATCCTCTTAGTTGTGAACCTAAGAGATCATCATATTTTAACCACATTTGCATATTCTTAAACCCTTCTTTCTCTTGTATATATGTGCATGTTCTAGGTTAGGGACGAGCTAGAACATCTGCTAGACGATGATGAGGATATGGCTGAGATGTATCTGACAGAGAAGTTAGCTCAGAAACTTGAGGATTCGTCAAATTCCTCTATGAATGAGAGTGATACCTTCGAGGTTGATCTTCCTCAAGGAGACGAGGATGACAGGCATGTACCTATTTTATGGACATACTATCTTGATTTGTTATGATATAAGTTTAACATCAGCCTTGTTACCACAACCTGCCAGGCTTCCTACCGAGTTTGCATCAGAGGCTAACAGAGATGAAAGCTATCTTCAAGCACATGATGCTCACGATCTTCTGATGAGTGCACATGGTGCACTTAGCAGAAATAGTCGTGGGACACATACAAGCTCAACCCGGAGTGCCATGACCAACAAATTAGATGTTGAAGAGCTTGAAATGCTTTTGGAAGCATATTTCGTGCAGATCGATGGTACACTGAACAAACTATCAACAGTAAGTAAATAGAGCAATTGCTTTTTGGTTCTTGTTTCAGACACATTAAGATAAATATCACACTCTTCTAGGTGATGATATTCATTTTAATCAAATCCATTGTGGTTGTGTTTGTTTTGGTGAAAAAGCTAAGGGAGTATGTGGATGACACAGAGGACTACATCAACATAATGCTAGATGACAAGCAGAATCATCTTCTGCAGATGGGTGTGATGCTAACGACTGCTACCTTGGTGTTGAGTGCCTTTATAGCAGTTGCTGGTGTATTTGGAATGAATATTTCGATAGAGTTGTTCAAGGATGATAAAAATGGTCCAGGAAGATTTCTTTGGACAGTGATTGGAGGTTCTCTGGGAAGTATATTCCTCTACGTTGGTGCCATCGGGTGGTGCAAGTACAAGCGCCTTCTTGAATGAGTCCGGCCAAGATATTTGGGAGAATGAAGTCTCTTGCCACAAATCTATTTAAAAACCAACGAAATTTATGTATATCCTTTCTTCTTGAGGATCTTACTCTCAAATCTTTTTTAGGTTTTAACCGTCTCCTTTGCTAGTTGCATACTTTCAATATAATAAACCAAACAAATTGCCATCTAAAGAAGTTGCATTGTTTTCTTCTTACCTGTTTTGGTATCTTTAGTTAATGCATATATAAAAATCCCAAACGAACCAAATTATGGGTTTATATGATGGCTGTGAACACAATTGAAACTTATGGGGGTTATTTCTGAAACATCAAGAAATTAGAGGTGGAAACTGTAATTTTTGAGGAAATTGACAATTCTGACGGAGTGGGAATTAGATAAAAATTGTTGCAGGGGCAGGGCAAGGCCGAGGGAAGAGAAGAGATTTATGTAAAAGCCCTAAAAATCTCGAGGGTGAGAAGTCGAGAAGAGGAACCATGTCGAGGCGAGAGAGCAGAGACTCAGACCCTAAACGATCTAGTTCTAGAATCGATCGCGAACCCAGGTCTGCCTGCTTCCCCTACTATTATTTACACTACTCAAACTTGTTCCTCTGGAGATTGCTACTCTATCTTCATCTCCCTCGTTAGTTTTTATCTATGACCAATTGAAGCTAGTAAAATTCCGTTATGAACAACTGGGGAGCTCGTGTCTTTTTGTATAGAAATCGAAATGCAAGCTGATACTGTGGAATTTATGCTTATCACTGTTGTTGGATTGATTTTGTTTTGTATCTTCCTATGATCTAATTTGGCCACATTCATTCTCGTAAAGTGGGGATTTTTGTAGAAGATGGTCAATAGTTGTCTAGAGCCTAAACATGAGCCTATACACACATAAATGCACACTTCTACCCTTCAACATAATAATTTATTTTGGTACTAGTTTTTTGAGGTGGTTCTCTAGCAAGCAAGCTCTTCAGAAATCACTCTTACTAGATCTTATCACACAGTTCCGCTACTAATCATATATATTTTGTCTATAGCCCCAAGAGATCAAGAAGAGATGGCAAACCTGAAGCTGAACGAGTTTTGAGCAAGAAAGATTTGGATGTTAGAGATGGTACTGCCACAGAGCAAAAACCACGTCATTCCTTGAGAGATGCTGCGCCATTGGAACCTGATGCTCATGGTTTGAAAAGAGACAGTGAAAATAAGCATTCCGAACATCATGAGACCAAGAAACAAGCTTCCCATTTGTCAGATGTATCTCGTCCTAGACCATATCATCAGGTTCCTAAAGCTTTGATTATTTTCCACGTTCTTTTTGTTACTATTCTGGTATTGCTTGTTCTGTGTGTGTCTATGTTTTTGCTCATGTGAGGTTTTGGAAGTTTTTGGTCTGACAGAATGTTTTTTCTTCTAAGCTTCATTGCCCATGAAAAGGCTAAAAGATTTTAATATTTTATCTTGCATTAGATCGGTTATACTTTTTGATGAGATAATAAATTGCTACATTGCAATCTAATGCATATTTGACCCTTTTATCTTGTGCTGATTTGATGGGATTATTGCACAGTTGAGTACCTTCCAATGCTGAGATATATGTAATCTTTGGCTTGCCTGTGCGTGTCTTATAACAGCATGATGATCATCGTAGTGACAGAAAGGATGACAGAAGAGCAACTTTTGGTAAGTCTCCCCAAATTTTCCCTTCTTCCTTTTCTTCATCCCATTAACTCGTAAGTGTAAATGTATATGCACGTTTTTAGCTGTATATACTTTTAAAAGAATTGGGAAGTCTAATGAACGTATTATTACTTGCTTGTAAATTTTGAAGAGAGGGGATCGTGGAGAAGTTCAAGAGATCAGAGTAATCGAAGAGCTGGAGATGATGAGAAGTCCCAGCATCGTAAAGACGAAGACAAAAGCTCGTGGCGGCATGATAGGTTCCATGAGAGTGACGACAAAACTCAAGGAGCACTCTCTAGGAATCGACCGGCCTTCAGGGAGAAGAAGCTTCCAGAGGAATCTGGGAACAACACAGATAGACCAACAACTGAGGAGGCAAGAGACACAAATCTTAACCATCGCCGACAGAACGAGAGAAACTGGAGGAGCAATATGCATTCAGAAAGACATGAGAGACCAGCAACGGGAAGAGACAGAGTGTGGAACAGAGATGATGTGAGAGGTGCGGGAAGCAGACAGAGCTATCGAGCTGATAGAGACAACAGATTCCGCAGCAATGAACGAAGTGGGTTTGACGGAAGCTGGACAAGGAATGAGAAGAAATGGGACCATGACCTGTTCGAGGAGGCAAACAAGAGTCCGACTAGAGCCACAGAGGAAGAACAGATTGCAAAAGTTGAAACCTTGTTGGCTTCTTAAAGCCAATGTGAGTCCATGTCTCTTCTTTTTTTAGTCTGGAGTTGCCTTCAAACTTTAGTGGCTCAGTTTGCAATTGTAGAAGATGATATCTGAGTTTATATAATGAAACTCTCCTCTATTTTCAAACGAACACCTCATCTGTTTAATCTAAATTACAGGGGTTGAGATTACAAATAAACTCCATTAAAATAAGACTGACCTGCCGACAGAAATAAATGTAAGACTGACTCAAAAGATCATCACCCTATCACTAAAAGTCAGCTATACCAGATTTGAATACAACTTTTCCTGTTTCTTCGATCAACCTTGAATAAAAATTTGATGTTTCTATATAGTTATTATTTTCCAGAAAGTATATATACATATTATCACAAACTTGATCTCTTGAATCAAAAACACCAAATAACAACAACTATAGAGCAATTAAAGTCTGAGAAAATAAAACAAAATATTCATTCAGAAAAGAGTTCGTTTGCCAGGACGATCAGCGACCTTTAAGGTCTTATCAATGAGATCTCTGGTCTTCTTACGACGGATAGCAACTCTGACGCTGGAGCTTTTATCCATTTTGATGTAAGGCTTCTTCTTCTTCCTCAGCAAACCCACCTTTGACTTTATCGTCTCCATCAAACTCTCCAACTGTAGTCCCATCCTCTTCTTCTTCTTCTTCTTCTTCTTGATTCTCTTTACTATAGAGCTCTAGTCAACTAAAAGAGAAGCTTCGCTTGGAGATCTTTTTCTAGTTTAATAAGCTCCTCAGACATATTTGTGCGTTACCGTAAAACAACGTTATAAAAATGTTCTTGAGTTGTACACCTTCTTTTGTTTTTTTATGGAATAGATTGTGGCAAATAAGGCTTTGAGTTCGAGATATTTTCGATAATTGCCACTAGGTGTCCTTCTTTGACTTTTAAAATATTAAATTCAGTCAACTACTGTTGATGTCATCAGTAATCACATCTCTGCTTTTGTCAACAATCACATTTAAAAACATTTAACACACACAAAGAAAAATAGAGAATCTCTTTAATCTCTCCGTTGCATTCACATATGGAACAGTAATGGAATGATGCTAGTCCATCGTAACGTAGTCGTAGTAGATATGTATAACATGTTAATTAACACTTCAAATTTAGGGAAAACTTTAAGAAATGCTCATCTTTCAATATTACTTTCAGTTTTCAAAAATGTTTCATTCCTAAAGATTTATTAAAAACTATAATAAAAATCTGAGATTTACCCAATCACACGTATACACATTGTTTGAAAATATAATTATATGTATAAATGTTTTAATAATATATCATCAATTTTTCCAAAATACAATTTAGCCAAAAAAAAAATATATCATGCAACGATTCGAATAAGGTAAAGAATAATCAGTCTTCTAAGACATTCACGTATATTTTTCTAAATCAAAAATTAGATATATAAGAGAATGTTATAAATTATTTTAAACGATTAATATGTGCAATTGAAACTTGACAACTACAGAAGTCTCAAAAATTCTAAGGCCAAATGAGTAAATTTCAAGTAGTTCAGAAACCTTTACTTTAACTTCAATAAAGTTTTATAAAAACTCATAACATAAATATTGTTTAACAAAACAGACAAGAAAAAAATAATCAGGATATCAATATTATGTTGTTCAGACCACTTGTAACTAATTTTTTTATTGTTCTAATATATGGTTTAGAAAATAGAAGAGAAGGCGGAGATGTTGCATTGTTTGGACCGCTTGAAACCAATCAGTTTGATCTAGTATTTGCTTTGGGAAATGATGGAGAAGGTGGAGACGTTTCATTGTTTGGACCGCTTGGAACTAATCTCTTTGTTCTAATATCGTGTCTGGAAAATGATGGAGAAGGTGGAGACGTTGCATTGTTCGGACCGCTTGGAACCAATCTCTTTTCCGCTCCAATATCGTCTCTGGAAAATGGTGGAGAAAGTGGAGAGGTTGCATTGCTCGGACCGCTTGGAACCAATCTATTCGTTCCAATATCTGCTCTAGGAAAAGATGGAGAAGGTGGAGATGTTTCATTGTTTGAACCGTTTGGAACCAATCTATTCGCTCGGATATTGTCTCTGGAAGATGGTGGAGAAAGTGGAGAGGTTGCATTGCTCGGACCGCTTGGAACTAATCTATTCGTTCCAATATCTGTGCTAAAAAACGATGGAGAAGGTGGAGATGTTTCATTGTTCGGACCGCTCGGAACTAATCTCTTGGTTCCAACAACTGCTCTAGAAAATGATGGAGGGTGTGAAGATTCTTCATTGTTTGAACCACTTGAATCTATTCTCTTTGCCTCCGCATTTGGTAAAGAAAATGAAATTATTTCCCGAGTGGCTAAAGACAATGTAAGAAAAAAGAATTGAAGCACCACAACTCCAAAAAGCCCTCTCATATTTTGTTTTTGCTTCTCTTTGTTTTGTAATGTTTTAAGAGTAAAAATGTGATGTATTTTAAGCTGAACAGATATAGCTCTTTATATAAGACTTTTGAAACAAATGTGTGTAAGTATAGTATCTCTAGTATTTATGGTACTTAATATATAGGAGAAGACTATAACTTTTTAAAAGTTAAATATCTCAATAAATATCCATTGAAATCTTGGCAAATAAAAAAATATATATTTTGACTGGGAAGAGGTATATACGCAATCTTATTAAGATTCATTACCTAATAAATGGATTTATTGACAAAAAGATCAATCTTAAAGTTGAACACAAATCTTAATTAAAATAGAAAATATAAAATCAGTAATAAAGTTAAACCCAAATATTAATTAAAAAATCAATTTTTAAGTTGATCCCAAATCTTTAAAAACATATAAAATCAGTCTTAAAGTTGAACCCAAATCTATAAAAGAAATATATATAATATCAGTCTTAAAGCTGAATCCAAATGAAAATCTTAGTAAATGATGACTTTCTTGCTAATAAATTTCAGATAAGAAAAGTATTGAACCTACTCAAGATATTTAATCAATTATAGATATGTAGAACATATAGAGTATAACACTGGTAATTTATCTATAGATTAATATATATTATTTTATAGTATAAAATATAATTATAAATTTATAGAGATATTTTCCCATATTTTTTTAATTGTTAAAATCTAAAAAAATATGAATTAAGACAATTTTATTAAATAAGATTAGTACTTCGGAGTTACAATGAAATTTTAATACATAGAAAAAAATCTACAATAATATAGAAAATAAATTACAAAGATTATATATGAATTCGATGACAAAAAAAAATTAAAAAAAAAAGATTATATATGAATTCACTTATACAAACAATATAGATAAATTCTTCAACTGTCAAAATTAACGGTCCATCAACACTATCAAAATGAAAACTGCATAGTTAGAAATTGAAGAAATGATTGTTTTTTTTAAAGGAAGTTATTCTATTAAAAATTTAGTTTCAAGTTTTCAACGGAGAATAATAATAATTCAACAAATATTGATATACCAAAAAAAGATTAAAAGAATAAGTAAAAAAAATACATACGCACCCGTTTCTCACTAGTCATTAGTCATCATTACGTGAAATAAAGCTAGAGCTTATCATAAATTCATAATGGTCGTAACGAAATAGGTTATGATGAGAAACGGTATCAGTAAATTCGATCCAAGAAAATTCGAAGCGTAAACATCATCTCCAAACATGGGAGAGCGATATTAACTTGGGTGTATAGATTTTTCAATACCTACCACATTCTCCATCTTCAAGCTCCTCTACCTTTGTTTTCTCACTCTCTTCCTCTTTTCTACGCCGCTTTTCCCTGCCTTCATCCTCTGCTTCAGGGACCAAACCTCGCTGCAATATCAGAAAAACTCATATGAAGCTAAACCATTTGTCTGTTTAGAATTAGGTTCAAGGGATCGACATTGTCTGTTAACAGTAAAACATATCTTTACATCAAATGGTTTTGGACCCAACTCAACACTAAGTTTCAGTACAAGCGGCATTTCTGAAACCAATCCAAGTACTAACTAACTGTCACTGAGAGAGATATGGAATAACACTACACCACAGTCTTCTCTATCGGTTTCTCAATTACTAGATAGAGTCTAACTATGGTTAGTTTCTATTTGTATAAATCTCTCCCTTGAAAATAGGGTGACTAACGTGATTTAATGTACCTGTTCTCTTGATTTCTTGTGGCCACCACCAGCCTTATGGGATTCTTTGAGATGGTCTGTCTCACTTTCCTTCACACTAGTATGTCTTTCTCGATGTCTGTTATAGCTATCTCTTCCTGATCTTCTACGTTCTCTTCCATGGGGTTCATTCATATCATGGTTGTGATTATCAGCTGCACCTTTCTTATGATGATCATCACTGTCTCTTTCTCGGACTCTGTCCTTTTCTCTTCCGTATTTATCTTTCCCCTTGTCATGTTCATCTCTCACATCCTCGGGTACCTTTAGTAATATAACATTCTGTGAGCTTGAGGACATGCCATCAGTTTATAATAGTCCATCTATATCCAAACGTTGAAGTATTTTAGTATGCAATAATTATAGCAGCTACAACAAGCAGAGACTCTCAATACTGTAAAATTCCTCTTACAGTCTAAATTGACTCCAGTAGATTGACACACAAAAAAAGTTAAATACTAAACTCGAGAAGGCTGTTTCATAAACACAAATCCACCATTACCTTCTTGTGCTGTTTCATCCTTTTTGATTGCTCTTTGAGGTGTGATACATAATCTTCAAATGTATGCTTCCGGAAGCTCTCATCGCCAATAGTACTACATATACAGAAGTATTAAATAATAGACAATAACCATACTTGAAAGTAGAAAAGGCACAATTTTCCCATGAAGAAAGAAAAGGATGTGGAATCCATAAAGTAAGCAAGCAGCTAAGTCCTCTGGTAAAAAGCCTTGAGGCAAAATAAAAGGCATAGGCTAAGGAAGAAGAGTGGTCATGAACTGCATAAACCCAGCGGTAACATTAAGCAAAAGACCAATATTTGGCGACACTAAAACAGCGTGAACCGTAAAATCAGGTGAAAAATGAATTAAAGCCATTTTGCCAAAACCTACTTTTAAAAAGCACAAACCCTTACGCAGGGTAATATAGTCATCTGAATCATAAAAGTACCCGTAAGGAAAGACAAACATGGTTGGTGTAATATTGATATAAGAAACCATTTTCAAAAGCACTGTTTTTTCTTTTTGAACGGCAAGACAATTTCGTGATAGAGTTAAAGAGGCATATGAGAACGGAAGTTAGAACTTAGAAGACTTAAATATAGCAGACGAAGAAGAACCAGTCATGACTCATGAACTTGAGCATGAAGAGTTAGAATAAATGAAAAACGTACCGGCATCTTTCACTACCTTCAACTAGATGCTTTGATTCCTCCCAGGATGAAGAGGCAGTTATATCCTGCACCAAAATAAATAATCAGGGAGAAGCCAGCCCACCACCTAAAAGTTCACCCATCACATAATTTATTGGATCAAACCAAATAGATTCCACACCTTAAAAAAGCGAAGCATATCCACCAATTTTTCAGTCTGCCGTGTCTGTTTTCTGGCTTCTTTTTCTTCCTTCTCCTTTACCCTTTCCAGCAAATCATCAAAAACTACCTGAGAAGCAATACCAAAACAAATAGTTTGCACTTTGCAGTCATATTCAATTGAGACATTCAAAGTTTAAATAAAAGAATATGCTAACACTGCAGTGACTAGTGTGCTCAGCTTTACTGTGCTTACACTAGTTTATGTGTTAAGAAGCAAGAAGACAGTGTATCTTCACACAACATCTGGAAATGAAAAAATAAAGGTCAAGGAAAAGATCTACAGACCTTTAGTTTAACGTCTGAAATAGATGAGACACTGATATCCTCGGAAATGGAGACCTTGAACTCATCAAATGTCGATCCACCATATAATGTTACCTGGAAATAAAATGAGATTATTAATCACCTATAAAATCCATATTGTTTGCAGAAATAAATCAACTACCTTTCTGAACTTCAATACATCCTTTATCTGAGACTTGAGATCGTGATACTGTGAAGACAAAAACACGTATATATGTCACAGGTGGCCAATTCTGGAAGACTGGAACTAAGGGACAGAAAATGAATAAGACTATTGAGAAGAATCTAGTACCTTTCTTTTCAAATCCTCAAGCGCATCTTCAAATAAGTCTTTTGGAGTAGCTCCAGATGAATTCGAGGTAATTGCTGAATATACTGGTAAATCTCTGACCTGAGATGTCAAATTTATTTTGTATCAAATCCAAGGTTCAATACTTAAAATGGAATAATTATTCTGGGTGACACAATTTTTGACCTTCATTAAATAATCACGCCAACTGGTTTTGGCAGTAAGCTCTCCTGTTGCAATATGTTCATCTATCAGCCCACGGAACTCATCACGATGCTTTCTCTCTGCTTTTTTTAGCTCCTCCTGTTGTCATGAATAACAGATACAATGACGTAATGTCCAATATAGCAAGCAAATAGATGTTAACTAAAGGCCAAATACCTAAGTACCTTCTGTATCTTCTGTCTCTCCTCTTCTTCCCTCTCTAGATCACGCAGATATTCCTGTACAACAATTAAGATTAGCCAAGTGTGGAATGGGAAGTTTAGTTCTTTATCAATGAAATAACCTGAAAGATTTCCAGCTGATCAATTTTCTCAAGGCATGAACATCGTTCATCCACTTCTAGGCGGTCCTGAACTTTGCGCCATTGACTATTAGACTGATGATAGAAAATATTGAGTCAGAATGAATTAGCACAGTATATCGTGGAAAATGAAGAATAAAGAAGAGGTACAAAAACCTTGATGAAATTGCAAGATTCCAAAAATCTTCTGTATTCAATTATGTTCCGCTTGCGATCCTCAAGAGCTTTCACCCGCTCCTAATAAAATTAACCACATTAGGAACAACAGAGCCCAAATTACAAAAAAAAAAAAAAAACTGCCAAAACTTTGAACAAAACAATTTAATATTTCATCCTCGGAAGTCTAAAGAGTAAAAACACATGTCATAATTGAAATTCAAATTTCCAGAGAAGGTACACACTTGTATATAAATAAAAACGTACAGATATGAAGTTTCAAATGAACGATAAAGTTAAGAATTGAGAAAATGTCCCCAATGACCACTTTTGACGAAATATTTCCAGTGGAAAATTAATGTCAAAAATGCATGCATACTTACAGAAAAGAGAAATAGATGGGAGAAACAAAAATGTGGTCACTTTTCAAACAACATAAGAGTCACTAATATATACACCCTTTAATACCTTCTCCTTTAGCTCATTGATGTGATCTTCAAAAATATTACGACGGTCTTTTTCTCGTTCAAGAGCTTTGAACCGCTCATCGTCTTCAAACATTGTCACAGCCTTGCTGGATTGAAAAGGAAC